CTGGCAGTTTGTTAGGTTGTATCTGATACTTCTCTTTTAAGTGACAGCCATGACAAAAATAAATTTTATATGTAGAATTTTATTTTGCATTGTTTGCTCAGAATATAATTTCTCTATCAATGGAGTTACTTTAACAATTTAACCTGAATGTTTTTCATCTACTTATATAATATAATATCCAACTAGAGATACTAGAGATAACTTATATAATATCCAACTCTTAGAAATAATAGATACCTAATTTTTTTTTAAGATACCAGCCAAATTCAGAGGCAGTTGTATTTTATATCATATGTTCTCACAGATTTCCTTTTCCTTCAGATGGTAGATACCTGGATGATTCTTGGGTTAATGCTCCAATCTCCAAATCCTCTAAATCACGAAAAGAGAAATCTCGTAGTCCTCTCAGAGCTACCACCCTGGAGAGTAATGTGAAGAAAAATAATCGTGTGGAATTTCGTGAACCTTTGGTTTCTTATAGGTTAGTATTGAAAAAAAAAGGTATCAAATAGGTTTAGCCTGTAATATTTACAGTAAGAGTATACTTTGTTTTCTGAGTTTTTTACAGCACTCTGGTTGTGAAATAGTGTAATACTCTAGTATTACTACCTTTTTCATTCTTCACAAAAGATGGCTACAAAAGATAGTGCAAACATGAAATACTGACTGCAGTAGCCTCTTCTACAGATAAATATTCAAGGGGAAAGAAATAGTAATAGTTGCCTCAGGCCACCTTTATTGTAATAAATATGTTTCCTAAAAACAAATTATTCCATCTCTGGAAGTGTGGCTTTTTTGTTTCTTCTTAATAACTCAGATCATTTATTTTATATAGTGAACTTTATATTGCTAACTTTTTTTCTTTTTTGAGAGGGGAGCATTAATTAGTCACATAAAATTCCTTTCTTATTGAGAATATGAGTTGATTTATTGTTTTATTTTGTTGCCAATGGCTTTCAGCAACTTAGATGTTCAAGATTGATGTAAGAATTTTGATAGTATAGATGATATAAAATGCTTTGCATTTTTGTTAACATAGCTTAAGATATTCAACTGATAAACTTACAGAATTTTGTATTTGAGAGACACTTTACTAATGATTTCAGTGCATTCATATTCTTAGTATGGCAAATATTAATAAGTAATAAACACTGGGCCTTTTTTTTGTTTCATTTGTAAGCTTTTTTGTGTGTTTTAAACACAAATCAAGAAGTTTCATGATGATACTTGGTAGTTCTAGGTATATGTTTGTACTCTTAAATTTTACATACGTTGGGAGATGGATGTGGATTTTCAGTTCAATTTTTAATATGTTGCATTTGATGCAATTTTGAATTATCTAGGTGGAAATATTAAGTAGGCATTTAAAAATTTGGGTAAGAATGTATGTGGGATGGTCAGGGCTGAGAATATAAATCTGGGAGTTATCACTAGTATTGAAGCACTAGAAGGGCTGGAAAAAATATAGAAAGAAGGTCAGGGGTATAATCTGGGTAAAGTTCAGAGTTTAAAAAAAAGGAGAAGGGAAAAGTTTGAAGAAGAATAATCGAAGTTCAGAATCTCTAAACACACAGATATTAAGCAACTTGCCTAGAGACATAATCATTATCAGAATTGAGACTGAGTTGCTCACTTCATATTTATGTTCAGTGTTCTTCCTGCAAATAATACTACTTTACATTTAGAAGTATGTAAATTATGGTTTTTTGTTTTTGAGACAAGGTCTTGTTCTGTTGCCCAGGCTGGAGTGCAGTGGCACAATCATGGCTCACTGCAACCTCCGCCTTCTGGACTCAGGTGATTCTCCCACCTCAGCTTCCTAAGTAGCTGAGACTTACAGGCGCGAGCTACCATGCCCGACTAATTTTTTTTTTTTTTTTTTTTTTTTTTTTTTTGATAGAGATGGGGGTTTCACCATATTGCCCAGGGGGGTCTTGAACTCATGTGCTCAAGTGATCCACCTGCCTCAGCCTCCCAAAGTGCTTGGATTACAGACGTGAGCCACTGCGGCTGGCCTGTAAATTATGTATCTTTTAAGAAAAGAAAAAAACACCCGGAGGATAGCTGTGAATGGAATACCCTCCACCTGGTGGATTCCATTCCTCACTTAAAACTCATTACTTTCTTTGGGAAAAATGGCCAGATCTATTTCTACCCCACTCCCATTTTCCCAACCTAGTTCATCATCCCTCTCTGCTCCCAAAGTACTGTGTAGCTTCCTCTGTTAAAACATTTTCAGGTGGCATTATGTTTTGGTTCCATATCTGCCCATTAGTCTATCTAAGGGTGTAAATCTTACTCTCATGGCATTAGCTTAATGCCTAGCATGTACTAAATATTTAAATACTTTTTCCTAACCTATTACCAGGAAAAATTTCAAATATACAGAAAAGTTGAAGGAATTGTATACTGAACATCCTTATATGTATTCAGTAAATATTTAATGAGTGAGTGAAAGAAAGATTGTATGAAATTACTTTTTGTTGGGGGGTGTTAATTTTCTATCCTCTTTTGAGAGTGGGACATTATATGTAACCTACCATTTTATGTTTTTATTTTTTGCATGTGCTAATTTTAGAACTAAATTATTTTAACTGTCAATTGTTGCAGTCTTGTTAATATAGTGAAAATAATCACATTTAGCCTCGGTCTCTAGGACTGATTTCACAGCCCCATCTCTTTCTTTTTTTCTTTTTTTTTGAGGCAGTGTCTCACTCTGTTGCCCAGGCTGGAGTCTGGTGGCCCAATCACAGCTCACTACAGCCTTGTTCTCCTGGGCTCAAGCCATCCTCCCACCTCAGTCTCCAGAGTAGCTGGGACTGCAGACAAGCACCACCACTCCCAGCTAATTTTCATATTTTTTGTAGAGACAGGTTTTTGCTGTGTTGCCCAGGCTGGTCTCATACTCCTGGGCTCAAGCAATCTGCCCACCTTGGCCTCTACAAGTGCTTGGATTACAGGTGTGAGCTACCACACCTGGCGATCCCCATCTTTTTCAAAATCAACCACTCAGAACAGGGTCTAAAGTTTTTTGGGTTATGGACCCCAGTGAGAATCTGACAAAAGCCGTAGACTGTTCTTTTTTTTTTTTTTTTTGAGACCGAGTCTCGCATTGACCAAGTCTTGCTTTGTTGCCCAGGCTGGAGTGCAGTGGCGTGATCTCGGCTCACTGCAAGCTCCGCCTCCCGTGTTCATGCCGTTCTCCTGCCTCAGCCTCCCAAGTAGCTGGGACTACAGTCGCCTGCCACCACGCCCTACTAATTTTTTTGTATTTTTAGTAGAGACAGGGTTTCACTGTGTTAGCCAGGATGGTCTCAATCTCCTGATCTCATGATCCACCCGCCTTGGCCTCCCAAAGTGCTGGGATTACAGGCGTGAGCCACCGCGCCCAGCCAGCTGTAGACTTTTTTCTTAGAAAAATGCACATGCTCATATGATCTCAATAGAAAGTTACTATGTTATGTTATCGTGGCTTTAAAAATCTTTGTAGTATTTAGGGTTTTATGCTTTTACCTGAAATGCCCTAGATCAGATCATTGCTATACAATAGAACCATTAATGTGAGCCACACATTCAACATTTTTAGTAGTCACACACAAAAAAGATATTTTACATTCCTAAATTTTTAGAACCCAGTATGTAACTTACATTACAGCAGCTGTCAATTTCGATTAGCCACATTTCATGTGCTCAATAGCCACATGTGGCTAGTGGCTGCTGTTTCAGACATTCAGGTCCAGCCTGTTGTTATGTCTGGTTTTATAATTTTCTTGACTATTTTTTTCATGATTCATGTACTCTTCTCACTGCTGAAACATTTGTCTTCATTAGCCTCCCTTTTCATGAACTGCTTTCCTAAAATAAGGCTCAGTCAGGCACAATGGCTCACACCTGTAATCTCAGCACTTTGGAAGGCCGAGGCAGGCGGATCACCTGAGGTCAGGAGTTCAAGACCAGCCTGGCCAACCAACATGGTGAAACCTCGTCTATACTAAAAATAGAAAAGTTAGCCAAGCATGATGGCACGTGTCTGTAATCCCAGCTACTTGGGAGGCTGAGGCAGGAGAATCACTTGAACCCGGGAGGCAGAGGTTGCAATGAGTGAGATCATGCCACTGCACTCCAGCCTGGGTGACAGAGTGAGAATCCTTCTCAAAAATAAATACATAAATAAATAAATAAAATAAATCTAAAGTAAGGCTTATTAGAATGACATGTAAAATAAAAATAGTCTCTGGAGGAAGATTTTTGGTAGTGTTTTCTATGAGCAGAGAATATGGACTTGTGAGAGGTACTTTGGCTTTGCCCAGCCTTCTTTGTTTACTCCTGATTTTCTAGATATGCTTTACAAAGTTTGAAGCTGCCAAAAAATACTTTGTGGTTAAGAGATTTAACATTACTAACCACATTTATTTGGAGGAAAATATTTATTGTACCTCCACTATATTTCTACCCCTAGTCTATTTATTAATTTTGTTCCTTATTTAGAAGTGACATATATGAAATGCCAGTATTTGAGAACTTCTTTCCCTGGTATGTAAGATTTTATAGAGTAGCAAATAACACATTTTATTGACAAATGTCAAGTGAATACCCAAAGTCAGATTATAATCCTGTTTTCTGGAGTTCTTAGGAAATCTCTCTACATATCTTTTGCATATTTCTTATTTTATAATATGCAGATTGTTATTTAGATTATTTGCCATTTTACTTGATAGAGGGGGTATTGAGCATTGAGTTATAATATTACTAATGGTTATTTTGCAATCTTTAACTTACTGGAATTTCTAGGCTTTTTATATTTTGGTTTCTAATGCTAGCTTAGAGTTCTCATTCAGTTTGTATGACTGGTTTCCATTTGACTAGTTTTTGTACTTTTATGAAAAGCTTTTAAAAAGATTTAGCTTTAAAATTGACAAGTAGAAACTGTATGTATAGTATACAACATGATATTTTGGTATATGTATACCTTGTGGAATGGCTAAATCAAGTTATTTAACATGTATTACCTCATATTCTTATTTTTTTTTGTGGTGAAAACACTTAAAATCTACTCTTAGCAATGTTCAACTATACAATATGTTATTTCTTATAGTCACAGAACTTAATATTTTTTATTGTAGGGAAATCCATGGTGCACCTTCCAATTTGAGTTCCAGCCATCTGGAGTCAAAGGATATATATTGTGTAGATGTTAATGAAGAAAAGAGTGAGAGTGGTAACTGGATGATAGGCAGTCAAGAAGAACGGAATATACGGAGCTGTGATTTTGAGAGCTCCCAATCATCTGTCATCAATGATACAGTTGTTAGGTTTTTAAATGATCGACCAGCAATTGATGCATTGCAAAATTCTGAATGTTTGATTAGGATGGGAGCTTCTATGAGAACTGAAGAAGAAATGCCTAACAGAACAAAAGGAAGTGAGAACAATTTGAAGCTTTCTGTGAATAACATGGCCCATGATATTGATCCAAAAGTGTTACGACTAACTGACTCTTCTCCATCCTCTGCTAGTACTTCTAATTCCCAAAGATTAGATATTCTAAAGCGGCGACAACATGATGTCAAACTGGAAAAACTTAAGGAACGGATTAGAAAACAGTGGGAACACTCAGAAGAAACAAATGGCCAGGGTCAGAAGCTGGGTCATATTGACCATCCAGTAATGATTGTTAATGTTGATAACTCAGTAACAGCAAAAGTCAGAAAAGTGGCAACAGCACCCCCTGCTCCAGCATATAAAGGTTTGTAATCAGTCTTTATATCTTCCTCTCCCTGCTTCTTTGTTCTTTCTCCCTAGGATGTATTTGAATAGAGAGGATCATCTTTAGAACAGGATGTTATTCTTGACTGCATAAGCACTTTGGGAGGCCGAGGTGGGTGGATCATGAGGTCAGGAGATCAAGACCATCCTGGCTAACATGGTGAAACCCCGTCTCTACTAAAAATACAAAAAAAATTAGCCGGGCGTGGTGGTGGGCCCCTGTAGTCCCAGCTACTTGGGAGTCTGAGGCAGGAGAATGGCATGAACCTGGGAGGCGGGGGTTTCAGTGAGCCGAGATCGCACCACTGCACTCCAGCATGGGTGACAGAGCGAGACTCCGTCTCAAAAAAAAAAAGAAATTATTTCAATATACATGTTAAAAATACAGATTCCTAGATCCAACACTAGTCCTAAGTCAGATTTTCTGGGGCTGTGGTCCAGAATTGGAATTTTTAATGAGTCCTTCAGGGGATTCTTGTGGTTCGAGAACCACTATATGAACATTTACTAAGTTATACAAATAATAATTGATACTATTTTCAGAGAACTGAAAGAATACTGCCCTTATATTATGTTGCCATTGTATTTGGATTGTTATTAGGAATTATTTGAAAACTAATATTTAAAAGATAATTCCATTTCCAGTGAATATTTGAGTACAGAATATTTTGGCATTGGCATTGATCCTGTTGATATTTAATTTTAACATGAATGATTTACTGTCCTCATATTTAAGAAAACAATATTTAAATCACATTTGTGCCAACATTGGTAGATTTTCATTAGAAAGTGCTCTTCAGCGTTTTTTTTTTTAAAGCCAACTCAAGTTTTTATATATGGTGGTTTTAAGAGGTTTCTATTTTTCTATTTTTATTTTTATGTTCCTGAAATTATTTTCACATTGTCATCATGTGAAGTTTTTAATGAAGGGTTGATTTCTTGATTAGTTTAATTCGTGTTAGAGTTTTGTTATTTAAACTTCTGCCAGGGTAGCCTTTTTAATTTTTTTGTGGGTATTTTTTCCAATTTTAGTTTTTATATATGCTTAGGTAGTTTTTGTATATATGCTTTTTTATATATATATATATAAAAAAAAAAAAAATAATTTTTTTTTTTTATTAATTTTTTTTTTTTTTTTTTTGAGGCACAGTCTCACTCTGTCGCCCAGGCTGGAGTGCAGTGGCATGATCTCGGCTCACTGCAACTTCTGCCTCCCGGGTTCAAGCAATTCTGCCTCAGCCTCCCAAGTAGCTGGAATTACAGGCACCCACCACCATGACCAGCTAATTTTTGTATTTTTAGTAGAGACAGGGTTTCATCATGTTGGCCAGGCTGGTCTTGAACTCCTGACCTCAGATGATCGGCCTGCCTCGGCCTCCCAAAGTGCTGGAATTACAGGCGTGAATCACTGCACCCAGCCTGTTTCTTCTATTAATTTTAAGTAACAATCCAGGGCACTTTTTTTTTTATTGTAAACAGTTTTTTTTTGTATTTCTGTATTGACTCTTAATTTTTCTCTAATAAGTTTTGCAGTTTTTGTAGACCTAAGGCATCTTTAGTCATTTTTCTCTAAAAACACATCTACTGCATATAGTTTTCGCTGATTATTAGTTTTATTTTGTATTGTTTACTATGTTTTGCTAGTGATCCTCATTGTGAATTAGATAAAAATGGATAATTTGCATTTCATTCTAGCTAATTTGCAAGAAAATTGTGACCAATTCACTTTAGAATACTGAAGAATTGTCATTGTTCAATATTATAAGTAATAATATTTTTTATTAATAACGTATTAACACAATTCTTTAATATTTTTCTAGTCGTTTCTGTATCACATCCATACCATTAACACAGCACATAGCAAATGGTGAGGTCAAAATATTCTTTGTTGGTTTGAAGATAGTGATTACCCCAAATCTTTGCTGTAATTATATACAGACCCATTAAGTACAGATTACACATTTAAGTTTTGTTCTTTATACAAGTCAAAGTTCTGAAATACCAATGGTTATTCCACTAAGAAAAAGTTAAAATGTTCAATTTGAATTCATATTTTGTAATAATTTGTAAAAACCTGAAAGTTGGCCGGGCGCAGTGGCTCAAGCCAGCACTTTGGGAGGCCGAGACGGGTGGATCACAAGGTCAGGAGATCGAGACCATCCTGGCTAACCCGATAAAACCCCGTCTCTACTAAAAAATACAAAAAACTAGCCAGGCGAGGTGGCGGGCGCCTGTAGTCCCAGCTACTCGGGAGGCTGAGGCAGGAGAATGGCGTGAACCCGGGAGGCGGAGCTTGCAGTGAGCTGAGATCCGGCCACTGCACTCCAGCCTGGGAGACAGAGCGAGACTCCGTCTCAAAAAAAAAAAAAAAAAAAAACCTGAAAGTTAAAAACAATTCTATAGAATGAGAGTGAAAATCTTAAATATAACTTTCTTTGAGTTGATGACTGGATTTCCCATAGTCCTTTTATTATTTTTTTAATGTGCTAGTTTTTATATTAAAATATTTTATAAATATAACTTTTGGAGGGGTTACTTTAAAAAAGATAACAAACATTTGAGAACTCATTATAGAATGTGGCTTCCAATGTCCTAAGCAGTGGATTTTTTTTTCCAACAATGAAAAACTGTTTTTCTGACAACTTTTTGGTAGTGTAAATTAAAAGCATCTTAAAATACTGTATTCTGAAATGACATTTTAAGTTCGTTTGTTTAAAGACATAATAAATTCATTTTGTTCACAGTCCAAAAGATGAAGAGTGTACCTCGAAAAGTTCTGTCACTCTTGTGCTTGGCCCCCTTTCTGGAGGTTACTTGTGTTAACAATTTGTATATCCTTCCAGAAATAACTTTTGCAAACATAAGCAAATAGGAACATGTGTGTATTGTGTGTGTTTGTGTGTTTATTTATTTTCTTCCTCTTTCTATACAGTTATTAGCATACTAAACTCATTTTGCACCTTGATTTTTTATTTATGTTTTTTTAAAAAGAAACATAAGAGGTGCTCTATGATTCTGCTTTAAAAATTTGAAATGGTGAACACGAATGGTGTTTATGTGATTCTTTCTTGTACTATATTTAGTTGTTTGCGTATCTTTTTCTTCCTGGTATAAATGCCCATGAAGATAAAGAGCCTATCTTGGTCACCCTTATTTTATCTCAGAACCTGTTACAGTGTCATGGACATAAGTAAGTGCACAGTAAATTTTTTATTTTATTCAATAAATTTAACCAGTAAGAAAAAAAGTGGACAAAGCAATGGAAATAAAGACTTGGGGACAGAAAGATAAACTGATGGAGATAGTGAAATCTTCTTAAAGTTAACATACAAGATGTGAATGCAAAGAAAGACTCTCATAGGGATAAATGTTTCCTAAAGAGTAGAGGAGAAAAAGAGGAGAGGAGAAAAAGAGGGTTAAATAGTTGAGCAGTGGGGTTAGGTGATGTTGGAAAGTTGAGGAAGACAGAAATACATTTGCATAGAACTGCCACACTTTCTTTTTTTTTTGAAAGTTTTTTGCAGTTTATTAATCCTCATGAAAAATCTGCAGTTATCACAGGTAAAGTCATTGCAGAATCTTTACTCCTGTTTTTAGCCTTTGCAGTCCCCCTGACTTTATTCATTCTGTCCTTACGTTCCTTTTGCTGTTTCCTTGGGGTCTTTTTTTCTCTCATACAGGCCATGTCTTGGAAGTCTGTGTTTGGTCTCATTTTTCATTGCATAATCCAAGGAATCATAAATCATGCTGAAGCCATTTGTCTTGTCACCAGCAAAATGGGTTCTGAATCCAAATACAAAGATGACATTGGTGTGGCTTTGTACATTTGGGCTAGTTTTTCCCAAATTTCTGTCTTTGGTACTGTTACCTTTCCAGGGTGAAGGACATCTGTGACTGTGCTCCCTGAGGTAGTTGATTGGTTATGAACTTCCTAGTACAAATAGTTATTGTGTCATTCATGATGGCAGTCAGTCCTCAGGCAGCTAGGCAGAATCACCACACTTTTTTAATGGCATACTATATTTTGCAAAACAACACTACGTTTATAAATTTTTTCTCGTATGTAGATACAGATGTAATGGTGTGTTCCTTGCCACAAATGTTGGGTGAAATTAAACTTATGCTATTGTGCCTAATGGCTGAATAGATTATTTACTATTAGATATGTAATTAATTTACCAGTACATTTTCTCATATACCTTTAAAGTACTACTACCAGTTTTTTACTCCAGCCTATTCTTTACATTGATTTAATTGTACAGTTATGTATAGGTTGCTAATTCTTTGATAAGTTGAACCAATCTTTTTTTTTTTTTTTTTTTGAGACGGAATCATACACTGTTGCCCAGGCTGGAGTGCAGTGGCGTGATCTGGGCTCACTGCAAGCTCCGCCTCCTGGGTTCATACCATTCTCCTGCCTCAGCCTCCCGAGTAGCTGGGACTACAGGCGCCTGCCACCACGCCCAGCTAATTTTTTGTACTTTTAGTAGAGACGGGGTTTCACCGTGTTAGCCAGAATGGTCTTGATCTCCTGACCTCATGATCCACCCGCCTTGGCCTTCCAAAGTGCTGGAATTACAGGCGTGAGCCACCATGCCCAGCCGAGCCAATCTTAAGATAAAAATCTTTGTACTACTTTGGTGATCATCTATATTCATTGTTTTATTGTTTTTGACAAAACAAAGTTCAGTGTATTTCTTAAAGAATAGTGATTATTTTATTTTATTTTTTGAGACAGAGTCTCAGTCTGTCGCCCAGGCTGGCGTGCAGTGATGCAGTCTCAGTTCACTACAACCTCCACCTCCTGGGTTCAAGTGATTCTCATGCCTCAGCCTCCAGAGTAGCTGGCATTACAGGCGTGTACCACCATGCCTGGCTAATTTTTGTATTTTTGGTAGAGATGGGGTTTTGCCATGTTGGCCAGGCTCAAACTCCTGGCCTCAAGTGATCCACCCGCCTCAGTCTCCCAAAGTGCTGGATTACAGGTGTAAGCCACTGTACCCAGCCAAAGAGTAGGGATAAATTTGAAGTGGAAACCTAAATGGTAATTCCTAGGAAATCCTATATGTGTAAGATTTCTTGAGAAATTGAAAAAGTATGTTTGAAAGACCTATTTTCCACACTTTGGACACAATTTGTCCGAATAAACAGCAGCTTGCCCATTTGTTCAGTCATAGGCAAAAACAGATGGATGGTAGCAATTATAATGCCTGTCTTCAAAGATAAGAAGAATACATAGTATTGTCTCTCCCTTCATCTGGAGAAGGGTAGTTCGTGTCTTTGAAATTCATGATTTATGATCGGTATTCTTTTATCATTTAATTTAGTGCTTCTCCACTTCTAGTCTTTTTGAATGAATGTATATTGCTTTGTCTCACTGATGCTTACTTTTCCTAAACAGTATGTGTTAACATACTATGTGGTAGCTAATTATACATTCCTCTTTTAAAAGCTTAGAAAAACTGCTCAACATCATTAGTTATTAGGGGAATATGAATCAAAACCACAATGAGTTACTACTTTATACCCACTAGGGTGGCCATACAATAAGTATTGGCAAGGATGTTGAGAAATTAGGACCCCGATACATTGCTGGTGAGAATGTAAAATGGTACAGCTGCTTTAGAAAACAGTTTGGTAGACTGGGTGCAGTGGCTCATGCCTGTAATCCCAGCATTTTGGGAGACCAAGGTGGGTGGATCACTTGAGGTCAGGAGTTTGAGACCAGCCTGGCCAACATGGTGAAACTCTGTCTCTAATAAAAATACAAAAATTATCTGGGTATGGTGGTGTGTGCCTATAGCACCAGCTACTTGGGAGGCTGAGGCAGGAAAATCACTTGAACCCAGGAGGCGGAGGTTGCAGTGAGCTGAGATCATGCCATTGCACTCCAGCCTGGGTGACACATTGAGACTCTATCTCAAAAAATAAAGTAAAATGAAATAAAATAAAATAGATAAGATAGATAAAGTAAAATAAATAAAATAAAATTTGGTAGTTCCTCAATAAGTTAAGCATAGAGTTACTGTATGACCCAGCAATTCTACTTCTAGGTATAATACCCAAGGGAATTGAAAACATGTCTACACAAAAACTTACACAAGAATGTTCATAGCAGCATTATTAATAATAGCCAAAAAGTAGAAAAAACCCAAAAGTCTGTCAGCTGATTAATGGCTAAAGTATTGGTATGGTCATGCAATGGACTATCACTTGGCAATAAAAAGGAATAAAACCCTGATACATGTTACATGATGGTTGAACCTTGAAAACATGAAAAGTGAGATAAAAATAAGACACAAAAGACCACATGATATATGATTTGGTTTGTATGAAAGGTCCAGAATAGGAAAATCCGTAAAGATAGAAAGTAGATTAGTAGTGGCCAGGGGATGGAGTGGGTCATACAAGGAGTGACTGCTAAGAGGTACAGGGTTTCTTTCAGGCTGATTAAATGCTTTGGAATTAGATAATGACAATAGTTTTGCAATTTTGTGACTATACTATAAACCACTGAATTGTACACTTAAGCGTGAATTTTATGTATGTCGATTATATATCACTTTAAAAAGTATAACAAACAAAACTTACAAAGCAACTTTGATAAGAATATTCTGTGTTACTGGTATGTATTAGGTTTCAACCCTTCAGAGACCAAGATTCGAACACCTGATGGGAAAGTGTGGCAGGAGGCTGAGTTTCAAAACATGAGTAGAGAACTGTATCGAGATTTAGCACTTCACTTTGCAGGTGAGAATAGAACTTTCTTATGTTTTGAGTGTCATACATGCTCTCTAATTTATAATATTTACATATAAAATTGTCACCAAACTAACAATATTTTCCTTCTCTAACTGCACGGCATACTGAAGTTGTAGTGGTTTGAGGCATAAGGCTCTGTTAGCCTCTAGACTCAGCTCCAGGGTTAAAATTAGCTTACATGGTTAATGAGACAGAAACTAGGCTATGTTTAAACTGAGGGACTTTCAGAGTTGGGACTGCCTGATTTGAAGGAAACATAGCAGAATTTAGTTGAAGTTTACTTCTGCTTAGGCCTCTGAGATCTTCGACGTAGTAATTTGTCAGGCAGCAGATAAGATACTTACTTGAGAGCAAGATACCAAAATAAAAATAATTATTATAGGAAGGGAATAAGTTAGGAATTGTAAGTAAGAGGAACCCATGGAAGACTGGGAGAGGGTATTAGGAAGGTCATACTAATAATGGTACTACCTACCGAATAGTATGAGCTTGGGCAAGATGCTGAGTGGTCTTTTGTATTTTTTACAGTTGAGGAAATGGAGGCTCAAAGAGTCATTTTCCTAGGGTTGGATAGAGTAGTTAAGAATGGAAGCCAAGATTCGAAACCAACTGTGATTCTAAAGTGTGAGGTCTCTGTAGTAAGCCCTCATAAAGCTTCTACTAATACATTTCTGTGGCATTAAGTGTCCAATCCAGTTTTCTTGCTATTATTATACAACAACACTCAATTCAGAAATTTTTTTCTCATGTGGAAAGGAAGAATAATGTAGTAGTTAAGAGCAAAGATTTTGGAATCAGCTTTCAAGGGTTCCAGTTCTGCCTCTGTCACTTATTAGTTGAGTATATTAGCTGTGTTACATAACTTCTCTTTATTGGTTTTCTCATCTGTAAAATAGGAATAATAACAATATATCTCATAGGATAGTATCATTGTAGACTAGTAGACCATGTCAGAAGACTTTCATATTCTGCCTTCTCTCTTGTTATGGTAGATAAACTATGATGTGCCTAGCTAAGACTCACCCATCTGCTTGTGTTTTAGATTCCATTTGCTCTTATGTATTTAAGGATGTTACTTCAGCCCTATTGCCTTTCTTTTGCATCATCAAGTTTTCCCTCTCTACCAGGTCATGCTCATCAACATACTATGTGATAATGTGCTGTTATATCAGTCATCATAAAAGAACCCCTCTTTTGGCCTTACTTTTCTCCAGCTGCTGCCCTGTTTGTTTCTTGTGTTCAGCAAAACTGCAAAAAGTTGCCTTATGCTCATTGTCTTCAATTTGTCTCCTGTCTTTCTCTTAAATCCTTTCTATAGGTGTTTGTTCCTATTTATCAAGATCATCAGTGACTTCTGCATTGCTAAATGCAATATTTAATACTAATTTGTTATCATGATCTGTCAGCAGCATGATTGATCACTTCTTTGAAACTGTTCACTTGACATCTAGAATACTTTAAGTATCTGGTTTTCCTCCTAAATCTAACTATTATTTTTCAGTTGTTTTTCCCTAATCATCAGGATGCCCTGACCTCAGTCCCCAGTGCTTGGGCAGGCAGGCTGGCTGGCTTGCTTGCTTGCTTTCTCCTCTCTCTTTTTTTTTTTTTTTAAATATTTTTTGGAGACGGAGTCTCGCTCTGTAGCCCAGGCTGGAGTGCAGTGGCCGGATCTCAGCTCACTGCAAGCTCCGCCTCCCGGGTCCACGCCATTCTCCTGCCTCAGCCTCCTAAGTAGCTGGGACTACAGGCGCCCGCCACCTCGCCCGGCTAGTTTTTTTTTTTGTATTTTTTAGTAGAGACGGGGGTTCACTGTGTTAGCCAGGTTGGTCTTGAGCTCCTGACCTCGTGATCCGCCCGTCTCGGCCTCCCAAAGTGCTGGGATTACAGGCTTGAGCCACCGCGCCCGGCCTCTCTTTTTTTTTAAATTTCTTTTTTTTTTCTTACCTTCCCCCCTTCCTTTTCTTCCCTTTCTTTCATTTTCTGTCTCTCCAATCCCCCTCCCTCTACTCACTCTATTTTTCTTTCTTTTTTTAAAGCTTGTCTATATGCACACAGGACAAATTAGTCTCAGGTCTTTAGATGTTCCCTGTTACTAGTGATTCCCAAAGTAATGTCTTTGGCCCACACTTGCCCTGTGAATTAACTTATATCCAGCTGCTACTTCCATGTCTCCCTTTGGATGTATAATAGATTTCTCAATCTAAATATATCCAAAATGGAACTAACTAAATAAATGTGGTCATGATATACCCTTTAAACCTGCTATTCTGGTAGTGTCTCCATGTCACTTAATTATATCCCTTTAATTGTTCAGGCCCCCAAATCTTGTCACTCTTGAGTATCACATCCCCGCCTCATATTTTGTATGTAATGTTGTCTGAAATATACTTAGAATATAATCACTTTCACTACTTCTATCACCACCACCTAGATTGAGGGCACCATCAGTTTCCTATCTGGATTATTCTGGTAGTCTCCTCACTGGTCTTCCTCTATCTGCTCTTCTTCTAATGAGTCTATTGTCATCATAACTTGCTAAAAATTAATTTAGATCATGTTGCTCCTTTGTTCATAATCTCTCAAAACCTTCCATCTCACTCTTGAGTGAAACCTGAAATTCTTACAATGGCCTAAATAGCCCTGCATGATCTGGCCCTTAGTTATGTCTCTGACCCTAGTTCCTACTATTCTTTTCTTTGTTCAGTCCACTCACACTGACCTGCTTGCTGGTTTTTTTTTAGATACTAGGTATGGTCCTGCTTTAAGGCCTTTACTTATACTTATTTCCACTCTGTCCAGAATGCAGAACTCTACACATATTTTAAAGTACATTTATTCAGATCCATAATTGAGGTTAATTTTTTAAGCTTAACATGTGTAATCAGTTTATTTCTGCAAGTTGGATTTTTAAAAAATTAGTAATAATGTATGTATAAAATACTTTGACATGTTTTACTAGCATCATCATAAAGCCTTAATTTAAGAATATTTTATTGAATATTTTGTAAAGTTTTTATGTAGAAATTTCTAAATGAAATAGGAATCTGTGAGAGTGCGCACCTCTGAGATTCTATAAAATGCAATGATCCTGACTTGGAAAGCATTTGTGAAACTAAGTAAATTTCTCAAGAGTTTCTTAGAAGAATAAATAAATAACAAAGGATTGGAACCCAATAGTGGAGTAGTGGTAATCTTTAGATATTTTCCAACTCCTTTTTTCCATAAAAGGAGTTGATGTTTGGTATTATATGGGCCATAGAAATAGCCTCAATGTACGTTTCTTTTTCCCTTCCTGCAACATATACTTTACACTGATTTTTCCTATAGGGGGAGGATAAGTAAGTGAGTGAGAATCATTGTTATATTTGCTGTAAATGTTTCTGCTTTTCAGATGATATTTCTATAAAGGAGAAACCTGCTGAAAAAAGTAAAGAGAAGAAAGTAGTCAAGCCAGTACGAAAAGTCCAGAAAGTAGCACAGTTATCAAGTACAGAATGCAGAACAGGTTAGTTTTCTCAACATATCCATCCTTTTTTTTTTTTAAATTGATTAATTTTTTCATTATACTTTAAGTTCTGGGATACATGTGCAGAACGTGCAGGTTTGTTAGACAGGGTATGCACGTGCCATGGTGATTTGTTGTACCCATCAACCCATCATCTGCATTAGGTATTTTTCCTAATGCTATCCCTCCCCTAGCCTCCCAGCCCCCGACAGGCCCCGGTGTGTAATGTTCCCCTCCCTGTGTCCATGTGTTCTCATTGTTCAGCTCCCACTTATGAGTGAGAACATGTGGTGTTTGGTTTTCTGTTCCTGTGTTTGTTTGCTGAGAATGATGGTTTCCAGCTTCATCCATGTCCCTGCAAAGGACATGAACTCATCCTTTTTTATGGCTGCATAGTATTCCATGGTATATATGTGCCACATTTTCTTAATCCAGTCTATCATTGATGGACATTTGGGTTGGTTCCAAGTCTTTTCTATAGTGAATGGTGCTGCAGTAAACATACATGTGCATGTGTCTTTATAGTAGAATGATTTATAATCCTTTGGGTATATACCCAATAATGGGAATGCTGAGTCAAATGATATTTCTAGTTCTAGATTCTTGAGGAATTACCACACTGTCTTCCACAATAGTTGAACTAATTTACACTCCCACCAACAGTGTAAAAGCATTCCTATTCCTCCACATCCTCTCCAGCATCTGTTGTTTCCAGAATTTTTAATGATCACCGTTCTAACTGGCATGAGATGGTATCTCATTGTGGTTTTGATTTGCATTTCTCTAGTGACCAGTGATGATGAGTTTTTTTTCATATGTTTGTTGGCTGCATAAATGTTTTCTTTTGAGAAGTGTCTGTTCATATCGTTTGCCCACTTTTTGATGGGGTTGTTTGTTTTTTTCTTGTAAATTTGTTTAAGTTCCTTGTAGATTCTGGATGTTAGCCCTTCGTCAGATGTATAGATTGCAGAAATTTTCTCCCGTTCTGTAGGTTGCCTGTTCACTCTGATGATAGTTTCTTTTGCTATACAGAAGCTCTTTAGTTTAATTAGACCCTATTTGTCAATTTTGGCTTTTGTTGCCATTGCTTTTGGTGTTTTAGTCATGAAGTCTTTGCCCATGCGTGTGTCCTGAATGGTATTGCCTAGATTTTCTTCTAGGGTTTTTATGGTTTTAGGTCTTACATTTAAGTCTTTAATCCATCTTGAAGTTTAAATATTACTGTTACCAAATTTCTCATTGTTTGGCACATATGAAAAATTAATACATTTTATGTATCGTGTGTGTGTGCACGTGTGTGTGTGTGTGTGTGTGTTAAGGTGTAATTGACATAAACTGCACATATTTAGAATGTATAGTTTGATACATTTTCATATTTTTATACATCCATGAAACCGTTTATTCACCATATGTTCATCAACGTACTGAACACATCGGTCATCCCTCCAATTTTTTTAATGATTATTTTTAATATAAGTTAACCAGATTAAAGGTAATTTTTAGGTTGTGAAATTTATATACAAGGGGATTGTTTCTGAATGTCACTAAATCCTTTCACTTATTCTCAAAAGATAATAAATGTTGCACATCAGAACTGTGGTGTTCCATCCCATTATTGGTCAGGTGGAACTCTGAATTGATCAAGGATAGAAAGAAGATAATTCTCTAGTTCCATAACATTTTGGCCCTCATCCAGATTGCCCAGATTTATGACTAGCTTTGTTCCTTTGGTAAATGAGCTAATTTTAGTGTGCCTTGGTTTTCCCATATGTAAAATGGGAAAGCAGTAGTATTTATCCCACAGGGGTGTTCTGAGAACTAGGAGTTAATACCCAAAAACACTCATATGCCTGGCACATGATAAGGACTCAGCTGTTAGCTATGACTCCATTAATAATAGTAATTATTATTTCTGGCCATATTGAAAATGGCTATTTAGAATGTCATATTCATCTCAGTGAGTAATTTGGGCCAAGAGAATGGAGAAAGTTGGGAACCTGTCACTATCAATTTAGAGACATTCTACATTCATTCATTCATTCATTTATTCTACAAATATTAATATTTTTGAGCATTTGCTGTATGTGAGGTACTGTGCTGTACTAAACTTAGACAATACATTGGTAAGCAAGATGCATCTAGCCGCTACCTTCATGGAGCTTATAGTCTTGTCAGGAAATAGATATGTGGTTACAATAAAGTATGATGAGTGCTGCAGTAAGAGGTCACAAGATGTTATGAGAACACCAGGGCAGAACTGACGGGGTGCTGGTTTTTGATCAGGCATCTGTTTTTCTAGTCATACGCTAATCAGTAGAATGGCAGATAACACATTCTGTGACACCCATTGTTAACTTTAGATGTCATAATAGAGTGACACTTGCTATATACAGATAAAAAAATAAAATGTTACAAAAACGTGAGTTATCTGAGCATTAACAATTACATTTTATTTTACTTTATTTTTTGAGACAGTCTTGCTCTGTCACTCAAGCTGGTGTACAGTGGCACAGTCTTGGCTCACTGTAATCTCCGCCTCCTGGTTCAAATGATTCTCGTGCCTCAGCCTCCCGAGTAGCTGGAATGACAGGCATGTGCCACCACGCCCGGCTAATTTTTGTATTTTTAGTAGAGATGGGGTTTTGCCGTGTTGGCCAGGCTGGTCTTGAACTCCTAGCCTCAAGCAATACGACTGTCTTAGCCTCCCAAAGTGTTAGGATTACAGGCATGAGCCATTGCACCCAGGCAATAATTACATTTTTAAAAAGTATTGTGTTTCATGTGGCATTACGTAATACTGTTTTCAGAAGCGTAGTTTGAAATGAAGCACAGGGACCACTAAAACTTATGAACACTGATCTTGAATTGTATTCATCCAGTTTTGTGGTAGGCTAATTCTCATATATGCACTGTGGCAATGAGCTAGATAGAGAGTCATTAAATGTGCTAAAGCTGTATTAATAGTTTATGTAGTGGAAGTCCTTTTTTTTTTTTAAAACCAGTGACTGTGTGTAACTCTTCCAGAAAGTTAGAATTTAGAAATAATCCCTCAACATATTCAGATGCCAAATGTATAAATAACTACCCAGTGTATTCATGGTTGCTTGTTTTTGATTCAGAAAATCAGGCTGAAATTGAAGAGAAGCCTGTTCTCTCATTTTACATAAGAACATAAAGTTTCTTATAAATAGATTGAACAGTATACTTAAAACCCTTTAAATATTTTAGGTCAACTGTATAAGGTTAATAACAAGGTGCAAAAACATTTCTAAAGTAAACAGCACACATTAAAACTCACCTTTTTATAATTGATGTTTTTATTAAAATGATACTTCCATTTAAACTTACAAATTAAAGCCCTTTTTAAAGAAACTCTAAATGGAATGTCTTTTATTATAAATACAATAAAATAGCATCACAGACAGCTGGGAAAATAGAAGAAAACAGATAAAACCACAATCCAGACTTAAATAAAGAACAAGTATTACTTTGTATGTTTCCTTACATTCATTTTAAAATTATAATAGTATGTTATGGTAATCACTGTTTTTGTAAATTTTTTTGTATATGTAAAATTTCATTGATTTTTGCATCTTCTCAGAGGAACATTTCTGTTGTTTCGTATGAAAATTGCGATTTGTAATGGCCACACAATATTCTAGTAGAAATAGTAATTATTCACTATTATTCAGTATTTAGTTACTTCTGATAGTATAAAAATGATACAGTCAACATTTTCGTTTATTTTTTTCTTTCTTTTAGATTATTTATATTGTATAAATTTCTGTTTGTTGGATCATTGATCAAGGGGAATGAATACTGTTGGGGTCCCTGACACATAATCTCATGTTTGCTTTTTTTTTCTTTTTTTTTAAAGAAACTATACCCACTTATATTTCAGCAAGTAATGTATAGGCAGAATGATTTTATTATAATTTTATCAGCATTGGCTATTAATGTAAAAATGTTTATAATAATTTAATTAGGCTTGAAGTGCTACTATTTCTTCCTTCCTTTCTTTTTTCCTTCCTTTTTTTTTTTTTTTTTTTTTGGAGGCAGGATCTCACTCAGTGTCCCAGGCTGGAGCACAGTGGCATGATCTTAGCTGACTGTATCCTTGAACTCCTGGGTTCAAGTGATCCTCCCACCTCAGCCTCCTGGGTAGCTGTGACTACAGGCACGCATCACTGTACCCAGCTATTTTTTTTTAATCTTAATTCTTTGTAGAGACAGGATCTTGCTGTGTTTCCCAAGCTGGATTCGAACTCTTGGCCCCAAGCATTTCTCCTACCTCAGCCTCTCAAAGTACTGGGATTACAGGCATGAGCCACCAGGCCTGACCTCTATTTCTTATCTTATTTTGCATTTAAACACTTTTATTCCATGTTTTTTTTTTTTTTGTAGTTTCTATTTTGTAAACAGTCTTTTATTTCATTTTTTTTTTAGTCACTATTTTGAGATGATTGCTTAATTTTTAATTTCTTACATTCTGAAGCTAATGGATGAAAATCCTTTTTTCTCCTGGTAAACAGTTGTATTTATTGAATCACTTATTTTTTTGAATTTTTGTGATGTGAGGACCTTTTAAAATGATTATACTTTTTAAATGTTACTGTTTTGTACATAGAAAAGTGGTGTGTACTTTTGGTATATACCTGTAAAATATAATGTGAAAGTCCCTGTAATACCATCCCCTTCAAAAGTAATCATTGTTAACTCTTTGTCATATGTTTCCTCAAAAGTTTTTACATGTTCTTTGATTAAGTCTTTTTTTTTTTTTAGCAAACGTATTATTTTATCGTGTGCCATGTATGGTGCTAGATATTTGTAAACCAAACACTTGTTGTGTGTTAAGACATATTTTTGTTTTGTCAAATTTGCTGCCTTAGTTCTTTTTTTTGAGATGGTGTCTTGCTCTGTCGCCAGGCTAGAGTGCAGTGGGCTGCGATCTCAGCTCACTGCAACCTCTGCTGCTTGGGTTCAAGCGATTCTCGTGTCTCAGCCTCCTTGGTAGCTGGGATTATAGGCACCCTCCACCACGCCTGGCTAATTTTTTGTATTTTTAGTACAGACAGCGTTTTGCCATGTTGGCCAGGCCGGTCTTGTGCCTTAGTTCTTGAGGTTTAGGAATCATTATTTGGTACTTAACTTTCAAAGCATTTTACATTTATTTCAGATGTGTGGGTAAATCAAGATATAAACAAACGGTTAACTGACTTGGGAAGGTTAGGGTTTAACAATATCATTATTTGTAAATCTTTTGACCTTGACAGATAAGCATAAGATTAATAATAAAACCTGTATGGTTGAGTAGATACACTTCTTACAATTAAAATTTAAATTTTAATATCAGTGCAATGTATTTTTTTAGGTAGTAGTCATCTTATAAGTACATCTTCGTGGCGAGATGGACAAAAATTAGTAAAGAAGATTCTGGGACCTGCACCCAGAATGGAGCCAAAACAGCGAAGAACAGCATCAAGTGACAGAGGTGGAAGAGAAAGAACTGTTAAATCTGGCAAGTAGCTATAATTAAAATTGTTGAGAAAACAATTAAAAATTGCTATCAAGTACTTAGAGAAGGAAAAAGTACTCTTAAGAATGTGTTAGGACTTTGCTTTATAATTTTGAATGTAGCTCAAAAAAGAAAAAAATGTTCTATTGGGCTTGTTTATGGATAATATCTGCATATAGGTGTTATGTTCATCTTTATGAATAATTTTGTTTATGTTGTATTAATTTCAATTAGCTGTCATTGTGAATATGAAAGCATTATTTTAATGAAATCATATTAGACTTTTAGGGACCTTAGAGAGAATCAAGTCCAACCTGGTTCATCCCAACATATTCAAGCAAACATGTACAAACATTCACAAGGTTGGATTTTTTTATTTGACAGATTAGGGAAACAGGCTCCGAAAGAGAAGTGATTTTTCCCATGGGTATGTAGTCAGTGGGTGTCAGACTTGGTGGCAGAACTGTTTAGTTTGACCCTCAAGTCCACTGTTTTTCTCCTATCAAAGTTTCTTGAGTGAACACTATTTCAAATAACTACTTTTTTCATGAACACTAATTTTGGGAAGTGAAATAAATACTCATATGCCAGTTTTTCTTTTTAGCAGCCAAATTTGTTTCAATTTAATGTGAACTTCTGGAATGGATTCAGTAAGATGCAGTTGCAACTATAATTTGGCACATAGAAGTCAATACTTTGTATTTGGGCCTCTTCACTTTTATCTAGCTTGTAAATACGCTCATGTGTATTCTCAGTCTAAAGCCATGTTACCAGATATTTTGATGATAACATGATTTTTTTTCCTGAATATTTTAAGTTTTTCCATCCTTCACTGGAGAGTTGTAGAGGCTTAACATTTATTCAACAAAATATTTACTGAGTGCCCACTACATAGTAGGCACTGCTGTAATCTCTTGGGCTTCAAAATAAGCAAAATAGACCCAATCCCTGGCTCTGTAGAAGAAGCATTCTAGTAAAAGGAATCATTATATTCTTCATATGTTTCTTGCTAAACTTTGCACATTTTCTCTGGAAATAGGGTAAAATACACACAATTTTAAGAATATTTGAGCATTTGTTATATAGATGTTTAAAAATGTAAATGTGATCAGATGAGAGACTAATGCTAATCTTTTCCTTATATTAACGAGAAATATAAAGTTTCAGAAATCCTTTGATAAACTTGTCTGAACATAGTGCCATTTCATGTAATTATGAAATGGGTCAGTGTTGTAGAATTTTCAGAAAAACTAATATTTTCAGTGCCATTATTATTTGGCATATGCAGTCTGGTCTTTGCAAAGCTTTAAAAAATATATTTTTTAGGATTATTAAGACATTTCCATTTCCTTGCTTCTCATTGGGATACCTTCCACTAAAAAGACTGTTGACGTTTTTACAGCCTTTTGAGAGAAATAGTAACATTAAATATGTATATGAGAGAGAAATCGAAATGCTAAATATTCATAACAACCATAAGAGCTATCCTTTTTTTCCAGAAATATTTCAAACTGTATTTAAAAACAAACTAAGGAAATACAGTTTTCCAGAAGACTGAAATTCTTTTACTGCTAAAAAGGGAAGCTTTTCTTTCCTTTTATAATGTTCTTCAGAAGACTATAGGATATTTGAATTTGAGTTTAAGTTAAAATGAAATTCTCTAATTTTCTTGTTAATGCAGTTAAATCTTAGGAATGAGTATAGAATTTCAGTATATCACTATAACAGTTCATACTTTGCAGGAGATCACATTGGAAGAGCAGAATCTGATCCCAGGTTGGACGTTTTACATAGACATCTTCAACGAAATTCAGAACGTTCGAGAAGTAAATCTCGGTCTGAAAATAATATAAAGAAACTAGCTTCATCTCTTCCAGATAATAAGCAGGAGGAAAATACTGCCTTAAATAAGGACTTTTTACCTGTTGAAATTCGTGGCATTCTTGATGACCTACAGCTAGATTCTACAGCTCACACTGCAAAGCAAGATACTGGAGACTTACAGAATCAGAAGTCATCAGCACCAATACACGCTCCTAGGAGTCACAGCCCAGTAAAAAGAAAACCTGACAAAATAACAGCTAATGAGGATCCCCCTATTATTTCTAAAAGGCGCCACTATGACACAGACGAGGTACGACAGTACATTGTTAGGCAGCAAGAGGAAAGGAAGAGAAAGCAAAATGAAGAGAAGAAGGCTCAAAAGGAGGCTACAGAACAGAAAAACAAACGATTACAAGAGCTCTACCGGAAGCAGAAAGAAGCTTTTACGAAAGTAAAAAATGTGCCTCCTTCTGAGCCATCAGCAACTAGGCGACTACAGGAGACTTACTCCAAATTGCTACTAGAAAAGACCTTGCTTGAAGAGCCATCTCATCAACATGTTACGCAGGAAACACAGGTAATAGTAGTGACATATATAAAGGAGAGTCGTTCATGGTTAGGAAACGCTTATTTGCTATACTATGTAAACATTACCCATCATTCCTAGTATGCTCAGATAATACTAATAAAAACCGTGGCCTTCATGAAGTGTATTAAATATGGGGAGTAATGTGATAAATGTGATGGAAAATAAAAGCTGAAGTAAGAATTTCCTACAGTGATTGTGACTGATTTATTTTCCTCTCATCATTGCTATTAGTTAAATCCCTGCATAGTTTTCATTGTAGTACTGAACAAATACAGTTGACCCTTGAACAATGTGGGGATTGGGGTGCCAACCCCTTTGCAGTTGAAAATCCACTTGTAACTTTTGATTCTCCAAAAACTAATTAACTAATAGCCAACTGTTGACCGGAAGCCTTATAACATAATGTTGATTAACACATATTTTATATGTTGTCTATATTATGCACTGTATTCTTGCAGTGAAATACACTAAAGAAAATGTTATTAAGAAAATCATAAGGAAGAGAAAATATATTGACTATTCATTAAGTGGAAATGGATCATCAAGGTCTTTATCCTCGTCATCTTCATGTTGAATAGGCTGAGAGGAGGAGGAAGAGGAGGAGTTGGTCTTGCTGTCTCAAGGGTGGCAGAGGCAAAAGAGGTAGAGGTGGAAGTGGAGGTAGGAGGTGTGCACCACCATGCCTGGGAAATTGTTTATTTTTTGTAGAGACAGGGTCGCACTGTGTTGCCCATGCTGGTCTTGAACACCTGGACTCAAGTGATCCTCCCACTTCAGCCTCCCAAAGAGCGTGGCTCCCTGTTGGATTTTAGATGGCGTTTAGCTATTAGTAACGTTTGTTTTTAAGACAAAATAAATTTTAATTGGTTTTGAGAAAAAAACTCGTACATTTTATGATCTTTGTAGAGCTGAGGTGACTTAATGTTTTTCTTAGGTGCTACCTGAATATATCTTTGTGATAGAACTCATATAAATTTGATGTCCTTTTCTCCTAGGCCAAACCAGGGTATCAGCCATCTGGAGAATCTGACAAAGAAAACAAAATACAGGAACGTCCCCCAAGTGCGTCTTCCAGTAGTGACCTGTCTCTCTCGGAACCTCCACAGCCTCTTGCAAGGTAAAAAGGGAAGAATGAAAGATGATTAAGATTCTTTCTTTTCATGAAATTTAGTGGAGTGGTCTGTGTTCAGTGAATTTTGTTGACCTTTGTGAATAAGAGGGCAGAGAGGTTTATTTAGAAATTGGTTCATATCTTCTGAAATTTAAGCATAGTGCACATCTGTACTTACTGTGTGCCCTAGGCCAATTGTTCAAATTTTATCTTTTAATGTAAATGTCAGTTTCTTTTACAGCTGGAAGCACTCTTGCCTTTACAATAAAAGTGTGTTGGATGAATGAATGACAGTGAAATTTTAAAGTGTTTGTGGTTAATAATTTTCAGACAGGATTTCTGTATCCACTGCTATTTAAGATTTCTTCTTATGTGTAAGAACAATTTATCCATTGTACTTTCAAGAGCTACCTTTGGATATGCTTGTGAACATACTAATAAGGACTAGGGAGGGATCTGATTTGATTTCAGATAGTCAACAGACTATTTTACCTTAAATTTTCTTAAGAAATTTTTTTTTGCTGTAATATATTGTTTACAATAAAGTAAACAAAAAAACTGAGTTTGGAAGTAAAGGTGATGTTTAGATTACGTGGTTATAAATTATACTTTGTAATAATAACCATTTTGGAAAGGGAAAGATTTTGAAATTCTTTGAGAATGCATAAATAGAAATCAAAATCACTATCCATTGGGTTATGGTTTTTTTTGGAGACAGGGTTTCACTCTCTTGTCCAGATTGGAGTGCAGTGGTCAATCTTGGTTCACTGCAACCTCCGCCTCCCACGCTCAAGCGATTCTCTTGCCTCAACCTCCTGCATAGCTGGGATTACAGGCATGCGCCACTACCACCTGGCTAATTTTGTGTTTTTAGTAGAGACGGCGTTTCACCATCTTGGCCAGGCTGGTCTTAAACTCCTGACCTCAAGTGATCCACCCACCTCGGCCTCCCAAAGTGCTGGGATTACAGGCGTGAGCCACTGCACCTGGCCCGCATAGTCCTTTTTTTACCCCATTGTCCCTAGAATAATACTGTCAATAAAAATAACTAGCATTTATTAGTGTTTCTTAGGTTCCAGGCAATGATCTAAGTGCTTTGCATATATTATCTTACTTAACCCTTGTAATTCCTTGAGTTAGGTACTGTTGTTATTCCTGTTTTACAGAAGAGGTAATTGAGGCCTAAAGAGCCTTCTCAAAGGTCAAAACATTAATGATAGAGATAGGCTTTAATTTAGCCAGTGTGACTCTAGAAGCCTGTGCTTTAACTACTCTATATACTACTCCCCAAAAGTGAAATATTTCATATGCTTTGCTTAAGGTTCTAAATACATTTCAAACTTTAAGTATAAATAACATTTTTGTTTTGAATTTGAATGCTTTTATTTATTTATTTACTTATCTTTCTAAGTGTCATCTCTGGAGACGATTGAATGCTTTTATATAGGTGATACTTTCTAGTTCACCTCAGTCCTATTATTGTTGTCAGACATACCCTGGTATATTAATGTCTCCAATTTTTACCTTTCTCTGAATTTCCTTCTAATTTTAAACAAGTTATCCAATATTAAAAGCAAACCAAACACAAACAAATCTAGTATTAGACCATACTACCTTGTATCAGTTCCTCGCTTTTCTTTTAATATCCAACTTCTTTGACTCATGATGTCTAACTTATTGTGTCCACTTTCTTGCTACCCAATTCCTGAGCTCCCCCATTCCGTTAGCAGTTTTAGCATAACTTTATGTTTAAAAGCATGCTACTTTTTGCTTAAAATTTGGCATTTCTTTTCCTTGCTCTTCATATCCTATTGTGTTAGCTACCTGGAAAACTCCAGATTCCATATCTGACCTTAAAAATTGAAGATCCAACTTAACAGTCACTTTCCTTGGCTAGCAGAGTTAATTACTTCTTCATCTATACCCTACTGAACTTTTAAAATCTTTGTTTTAGTATTTGTGATGTCTTATTTTAGCTGTTTTTTTTATTAGTCTGTCATCCCTGGTAGATGTTGAGATCCTAAAGTGTAAGAATTAAGCCTTTTGGCCAGGCGTGGTGGCTCAAGCCTGTAATCCCAGCACTTTGGGAGGCCGAGACGGGTGGATCATGAGGTCAGGAGATCGAGACCATCCTGGCGAACACGGTGAAACCCTGTCTCTACTAAAAAGTACAAAAAAACTAGCCGGGCGAGGTGGCGGGCGCCTATAGTCCCAGCTACTCGGGAGGCTGAGGCAGGAGAATGGCGTAAACCTGGGAGGCGGAGCTTCCAGTGAGCTGAGATCCGGCCACTGCACTCCAGCCTAGGCGACAGAGCGAGACTCCATCTCAAAAAAAAAAAAGAAGCCTTTTTACTTGTTTTTAATTTGGAGACAGGGTCTTGCTTTTTCACACAGGCTGGAGTGCAGTGGCATGATCATAGCTCACTGCAGCCTCAACCTCTTGGATTCAAGTGATCCTCCCACCTCAGCCTCCCAAGTAGCTGCGACTGTAGGCATGCACCGCCATGCCTGGCTAATTTTTATTTTATTTTTTTGGAGATGAGGAGCTTGCTATGTTGCCCAGACTGGTCTTGAACTTCTGGCCTCAAGTGATTGATTCTTCTGCCTCAGCCTCCCAAGTAGGTAGGATTACAGGTGTGAGCTACCATGCCCAGCTCAGGATTAACTGGATTAAGTATATCCATTTTTGTCTCCTATTTCTCTACCATCAACATAGCACCTGCTGTAAAATTGGCATTCTAAATACTTGAATTTAAAGCTCTTGGATTTTTATTCATCAGTATCTTTTATATTATAACTTCCTTTGTATTCCCATTACTACCAGCTTAGTTTAGGCGCCAGTAACCTCACGCTTTGCATTTGTAATAGCCTATATTCTAAGGCATAGAATCTGTGCTCTAGTCTTTCTTCCTTCATTCTAATGACATGCTTTTCAACTTCTTATTGTCCTGGTTACCCCCCTTCAGATGACTTATTTTAATCCAGTTGCAGAACTTTACATTTATCTGTATTAGTTTGGTTTAAGATTGCAGCCTATAAAAATAAATTTGTCTCATAATTTGGTCATTTGTTGGGTCAGCCATGCCTCCCAGCTTTCTGTCATCTGCAAGTTTGATAAGCATACCTTTATGTCATCATCCTAAAATAATGGACAAGACCAAGGACAAAGCCTCATGTTGTTGTCCTTTTTTTTTTTTTTTTTTTTGAGACAGAGTCTTAACTGTGTCTCCCAGCTGGAGTGCAGTGGCACGATCTCGGGCACTGCATCCTCCACCTCTCGGGTTCAAGTGATACTTGTGCCTTAACCTCCCAAGTAGCTAGGACTACAGGCACATGCCACCATGCCCAGCTAATTTTTTTGTATTTGTAGTAGAGATGGGGTTTCGCCATTTTGCCCAGGCTGATCTGAAACTCTTGGCCTCAAGTCATCTGCCTGCTTCAGCCTTCCAAAGTGCTGGGGTTACAGGCATCAACCACTGTTCCTGGCCTGTTCCTCTAAGGGTCTTCTTAATAGTTGACGTCATCCTGTAATCTCTCTGTAGTATCCCTTAATATAGAGGAAGTCTATGGTCTAGAGATACAGGTAAATACACATAATGTTGTTTAGGACATCTTTATTCTGTTTCTATACTTAATGGATACCCTACCCTGTATATTTATATTTATAGTTGCATATTTATAGTTGGCACTCACAGTTTTGCATTTAATTGTTTCACATTCATTAATTTTTCACAAGTATTAGTAGGTTATAATAACCTCCCTGTTTAGCATGTACATTGTTAAACGTAAGTGTTCAGCATATAGTAAATATTTGTTGATTAGAATAATCTATATCATGTCTACATTAATATTTAGCAATTTTAAGCATTTCTCTTTTATGTAATGTTATTTTAAAAACTATAATCAGTATTGTAAGGAATTTTGTTTATAGAATTTTAACGATCTTATTGCCTTCTTTTAAATACTTTTTAAAAAAATATGGCATCTTAGTTGAAAAAAGCAGTTTGCAAAACAGTATATATGGTAAAAATCCCATTTTTGTACAAACAATACCACCAAAACATAATGTACATATAGAAAAATGTTTGGAAGTATATAATTCTAAATGAAATATTAACAGTGCCTCTTTTTTATTGTTTTGCTGAATGATCTTTATCTTTTTTATGTTTTTTATCTGTCCTTATTTTGTTGCAGTGCATACTCACTACTCTTATAATCAGACAAAAACAAAACTTTTTTTAAATGATGGTTTAGTTAGCTAACATATTGTGACTTTCATTTCCAGGAAAGACTTGACGGAATCTACATGGATGCAGCCTGACAGATTGAGCCCACAAGTTCACCATTCTCAACCACAGCCTTTTGCTGCAACAGCTGGAAGTTTACTCTCCCATCTCTTGAGTCTAGAGCATGTAGGAATTTTGCATAAGGATTTTGAATCTATTTTACCAACCAGAAAGAATCATAATATGGCTTCAAGGCCATTAACTTTTACACCTCAACCATATGTGACCTCACCAGCTACTTATACAGATGCCTTGTTAAAACCTAGTGCCAGTCAGTATAAGAGTAAACTGGATCGTATTGAAGCCTTGAAAGCAACAGCTGCTTCTTTGTCCAGCAGAATTGAAAATGAAGCCAAGAAATTAGCTGGGGCCAACATTAACTATGGGTCAGCATGGAACACTGAGTATGATGTGCAGCAGGCACCTCAAGAAGATGGACCTTGGACCAAGGCTGTAACTCCACCTGTGAAAGATGATACTGAAGATGTTTTCTCTGCCAGAATTCAGAAGATGCTGGGAACCTGTGTATCTCATGCAACTTTTGATGCTGATCTTCCTGGTGTAGGCAATCTCAGTGAATTTAAAAAGCTTCCTGAGATGATTAGACCTCAGAGTGCCATATCAAGCTTTAGAGTGAGATCCCCTGGTCCCAGACCAGAAGGGCTACTGGCACAGTTATGTAAAAGGCAGACTGACTCTTCTAGCTCTGATATGCAAGCCTGTTCTCAAGACAAAGCCAAAATATCTCTTGGTTCCAGCATAGATTCAGTCAGTGAAGGGCCTCTTCTTAGTGAGGGGAGTCTCTCCGAAGAAGAGGGAGACCAGCATGGACAGCCCCTTTTGAAAGTAGCAGAAATTTTAAAAGAAAAGGAATTTTGTGCTGGAGAAAGAAATAGTCATGAACCCATCAAAGAGTTTCAGAAAGAAGCTGAAAAATTCTTGCCACTTTTTGGGCACGTAGGTGGGACACAAAGCAAAGGGCCATGGGAAGAATTGGCAAAGGGAAGCCCACATAGTGTCATTAATATTTTTACAAAATCCTATCAGTTATATGGAAAAGGTGAGAAAAATAAGTATAACTTGTACTATTTGTATATTAAGATGAATTATTTCTGTACAAGATATATACTTTAGTACACATTTTTCATTGAGTGGATAATGGAGACATTATTGTCCATATTAGTCATCTTCTAAATTTCCTGCAAGCCTCAAATAGAGTATTAGTAATTGAATCTTTAAGATTTCATTTAAAAATTGTTATTGTCATAAAATAATAGTTGACTGGTAGTTGTAGAAATTTTTATCTAGTTCAGAGAAATTCATAGATGATGTTCAAGATTGGATATATATCACATATATACTACATTTTCTGTGACCATAGTTATGTACTTCTATAGAAACTAAGTATAAACTGGGCACAGTGGCTCACAACTGTAATCCCAGGACTTTCAGAGTCCAAGACAGGCAGATCACTTGAGGTTAGGAGTTCAAGACCAGCCTGGCCAACATGGTGAAACCCCGCCTCTACTAACAATACAAAAAAAATTTAGCTGGGTGTGGTGGCATGCACCTGTAATCCCAGCTACTCGGGAGGCTGAGGCATGAGAACCGCTTGAACCTGGAGGCAGACATTGCAGTGAGCTGAGATCATGCCACTGCACTCCAGCCTGGGCGACAGAGCGAGACTCCATCCAAAAAAAAAAAAAAAAAGAAAAAAGAAACTAAGTGTGTTTCTTACCACAGTGGTGATTTGTGAATTCTTGGGAATATAGCAATCAAGAATTGAGAGGGATAACTGTAGTAACATTTATTTCTAATATGAAAACAACTCTATTAATGTTTGTTAAAACTAGTTTGAATAGCAATCAGACTTTGAACAGTAACGTAGCTATATATTTGATTCCTGAAACAATGACTTCTAACGTTCCCTTCTTATCCCTGAAATCCTGTAACACGGCTTTCCTTTTCTATGATGGACTCAATTCCCTCAAGTCCCTTTCTCTATCCTTCCTGCTATATTTGGAATCTGCCCATTTTATAGTAACATTATCTTAAAATTTCCGGATCGGAGATTTCGCCTCTGTATAGTGAATGTATTTCATCTGTTCTTATGCTCAACTGGGTATCACATTGCTTTTTCCTAGAATTCATATGTAGGTATTTCTTAATAGTCTTGTATAGACCTTCATATGCTATTGCTTTCTTTTGTTTAGCCACATTTCTATTAGTGGTAATTTTAAATTTGTTTTGATTTGAAAGTTATTTTGATTTCTTTTGATGAAAGTAAAGTGCTTAAATCAACATCTTTTTTTATAAGAAAATTGTTTCTTCTTAAATTCTATTAAATGTTCATTAAGATTTTATAGTTAAACTAAAATATTTAGAGATGAAATGAGAATGAAATGTTATCTGCAATTTGCTTTAAAATAGTCTGGGGGGTGGTAGATGAAGGTAGTAGGAGGTTTATTTGAAACTAGATTGCTGATGTATTGGTCATTGTTGAAGTTGGATGATGAATACTTTGGTTTCATTATACCAATCTCCCTGTTTTTATGTATGTTTTAAATTTTCCTAATAAAAAGCTTTAAAAAAGTATCGTTGGATATAAAGGTAAATAGAAAAGAAGCACTATTAAAGGAAACTAAAATGTCCCTAAGCCCATATTGCTAATCTCCATGTATGGGATGCTTTTCTTACAGTTTCTTGATTTTCATTTTTAACCATGTTTCAATTATTACTTTTGTCAGGGTTTGAAGACAAGTTGGACAGAGGAACATCAACATCACGGCCTTTGAATGCCACCACAACTCCTCTAAGCAGTGTTTCATATGAAGATGATTTTGTCTCCTCTCCAGGGAGTGGGACTTTGACAGAAAAAAAGTCAACTCTTGAACCTCAGTAAGAAAATATTGGCAATATGGAATAAACTCTGAAGAGTGAGAAAATGTACAAATGAGAACTCTGGTCTGAATATTAGCAAAGTTTTGCTTGTTTAAAGATACATATAGAGGCTGCACATCGTAGTGGAAATCCCAGGGCATGGGGCTCTGGATCCAGACTGCCTTTGTTTAAATCCAGGCTCTCCTGATTATTAGTTGTTTGTATTTATGCACATTACTTAGCCATCCTATGCTTCTGCTTCCTTCTCTGTGAAATGGGGACATTAATAGTACCTGCGTGCCTCATAGAGTTGTTATGAGTATTAAATGAAATATAGTGAGGCTGAGGCACGAAAATTGCTTGAACCCCTGGGAGTTGGAAGTTGCAGTGAGCCGAGATTGCACCACTGCACTCCAGCCTGGGTGACAAAACTAGACCCTATCTCAAAAAAAGAAAGAAAAAAATAAATCACATACTTAGAACAGGACCTGGCACATAGCAAGCAGAGTATAGGTTATTAAGTCAGTCCATGAATTCCCAGTAGAGTATTGGAGTATTGGGAAATTAGTCCATGGTATACTAACATAAAAAGCTTGAGAAATGGTTTTCTGTGATAGAATTGAGGAAGATCAGATAGATACGTGACTCCATGGTTCCACATAATAAGTAATTTTCTTTATAATCAAGAAAACATTGAAAAATTTGCAAAGCTTTGAAAAACAATAATTATAATGATTATAACATCTGATAATTATTGAGCACTTAGTGTGCAAGACACTGAAAAGACTGAAAGACTTTACCTATATTAACTCATTTTTATAATAGCCTGATGTGGAAAGTATTGTTGTTACCGTTTCTGTTTTAGAGAGCAAACTGAAGCAGAGGTTAAACTACTTGTACATAGTCACATAGTAAGTGAATCAGACTTTGTTGGAGAGAATTTTCTCCCTATATTTTGCTATTGTATACATTTATCTGTAATTATTCATACTTAATATCATCTTTTTCAAATATTACAAATTGTAATCCATGTAAAATTATTAGGTAATCTTATAAAAATTAGTTAAATGTAATTAGATTAGTAGGAATAGGTATGAAAATTATATGAGAAAAAGCATAGTTTTAAGTTTTGAGCTCTAAAGAAAATACCAAATTTTTAAATAAAAACTTTCAATGATTTAATTATGGTGACATTTAATATCACCAATCAATATGATTTGATGCATTTTATTTCCAGGTAGAGGAAGAACATGTTAAGTTATTGTTCTCCATAAGATTATAAGAGGAGAAATAGTTATAATTAATAAATTATAAATTTGAATAGAAATTGAGGCCATTCCAGTATTCAACATTATATACTTTTCTCTGAATATTAGTTTTTATTGGTTTCACTTACCTGAGATTTTTCTTAGTAACAAGTTGAACCATAGGGAACAATCCAGGTTGATGGTGGTTAAAAAAATCAATAATAAAATGGAAGCCATCTTTGATTGTAGTTATATTCTCCTAGTGATTAAATAGATTTTGTAAATATCTTTAATTTAGCTGTGTTGTAAGACTTTTCTTTCTAGAACTACTATTATTTATTCTTTGACAGTAGCACTTCAGGCCCTCAGGAGGACCATTCTAACAGAAAGTCTGCCTATGATCCTTCCTCTGTGGATGTTACCTCCCAGCATTCATCAGGAGCCCAGTCTGCTGCATCATCTCGTTCATCTACTTCTTCTAAAGGAAAGAAAGGAAAAAAGGAAAAGACAGAATGTAAGTGGAATTCCACATGGTAACTTTTTCTCTTACCAGTGATTTTGTTGTAGTAATCTAAAGTTGTGATTTGATCCCATAAGAAGTTAGAATTTCTTACAGTAATTAACTTTCATATTTATCATTATAGTAATACCTTTTGATATATAACATTATGAATCTTTTCCTTAATACAAAAGGAATACATTTGCAGTGATAAAAAATTAAAAATTAGAGATAAACACTCTTCAAGGAAAGACAAATTTCCTTTGAGTCTTCTGTTCAGAGATTAGCTACTATTAACATTTTTGATGTATACATAAAATTATACACACATGACTTTATTTTAAAAACAAATGTAAATAATTGCTTTGCAGTTGGGTTTTTAAAAAAACTTAATAGTATATACATCTCTGAGTATCATTAAATATAATACCCAGATTTCCTTATCTATAAGATAGAGATAATAGATACTTTATATGGTAATTTTCAAGCTCATATGAAGTTAAGGGAGATAATGTGTACATTCTGGTACCCAGCACTGTAGCTGACTCATTGGCGTTCAGTAAATATTTTTGAGTGATTGAGATACCCTTCAATGTCCTAATTTCTACTCTTGGCTTAAATTTGCTCCATAGGCCTACGGAGACGGATAATCACTGTATAAAGTGATTAGGCAAAGGCTTTGTAAACTCACAGGATGGTGTCTAGCTCTGGGAATGATTTTGCTTCTTGCTTCCAAAAATGTTTTTTCTGGAAGCTGGAAGCTGTCATTCTCAGCAGACTAACACAGGAACAGAAAACCAAACACCATGTGTTCTCATTCATAAGTGGGAGTTGAACAATGCAAACACACAGACACGGGGAAGGGATCATCACACACTGGGACCTGTCGGGGTCGGGGGGCAAGGGAAGGGAGAGCATTAGGACAAATACCTAATGCATGCGGGGCTTAAAACCTAGATGATGGGTTGATAGGTGTAGCAAACCACCATGGCACATGTATACCTCTGTAACAAACCTGCACGTTCTGCACATGTATCCCAGAACATAAAATAAAAAATAAATACATAAAATAAATCCTGCTTGTTGAGCTAAAAGGCTTCAGGGGGTGGAAGGAACAGGAATAGGAGGAAGACATCAATAAATATAGAAACCTATATTTTAAAAGTAAATCACCTCTAGTTCTTTCTCTTAGAGATAACGGGTGTTAACATTTAAACGAGCCTGGCCAATATGGTGAAACCCTGTCTCTAAAGGTACAAAAATTAGCCAGGCATGATGGTGGGTGTCTATAATCCCAGCTACTCGGGAGGCTGAGGCGGGAGGATCGCTTGAACCCAGGAGGCGGAGGTTGCAGTGAGCCGAGATTGCACCATTGCACTCCAGCCTGAGCGAGACTCCGTCTCAAAAAAAAAAAGTATTTATTTTATTTATTTCATTTTATCTTATTTATTTTGCAGAGACGAGGGCCTCACTTTGTTGCCCAGGCTGGTCTCAAACTCCTGGGCTCAAGCAATCCTTCTGCCTCAGCCTCCCAAAGTGTTGTGATTATAGGCATGAGCCACTGCCCTCTGCCTATTTTAATTGTGGTAAAATATACATAACATAAAATTTATCATTTTAACCATTTTCAAATACACAGTTCAGTGACATTAAGTACATGCACATTATTGTTGCAAGCATCACCACTGTCTCTCCAGAAATTTTTCATATTCCCCTACTGAACTCTGTACCCAGGAAATAATAACTCCATTCCTCTGTTCCTCAGCCGCTGGTAACCATTCTTGTGTTTTCTGTCCCTATGAATTTGACTACTCTAGGTACTTCATATAAGTGGAATAATACAGTATTTGTCTTTTTTATCTGGCTTATTTCACTTAGCATAATATCTGACTCACCGTTCCTCTATGTACAGCATGTATCAGAATTTATTTTTATTGCTGAATAATATTCCATGCTGTGTATATGCCATATTTTGTTTGTCCATTAATCTGTTGATGGACATTTTGGTATTTTCCACCTTTTAGCTATTGTGAATGATATTGCTATGAACACTGGTGTACAAATACCCTATTTGAATCCCTGCTTTAACCCAATTACAGAACTGCTAGATCAAATGGTAATGCCATGTTTAATTTTTTGAGGAACTGCCATAATGTTTTCTATAGCAGTTGTACCATTTTACATTCCCACCAGCAATACACAGGGTTCTATTTTGTCTACATTTATGCCAACACTTCATATTTTCTGCTTTTTTGTTAATAGGACATCCTAATGGGTGTGAAATGTTAACATTTTTAGTAAGAGTCCTTCCAGACAATTTGTAGGCACACACAAATAGGAAATTTTATGTGTATGGGATCACATTTTACATGCAATTTTATTCTGTCTATAGGGTATGGTATCTTTTTCTGTCAGTAAATATGGATTACTATTTGTAAGGATTACCCACTAAACAAACTCTAGACCCATTAAGTAACAGAATACTATTCTCTTTTTGCTTTTTTGTTTTGTTTTTTGAGATAGGGTCTCACTCTCACCCAGGCTGGAGTACAGTGGTGTGATCACAGCTTATGGCTCGCCGTAGCCTCAACATCCTGGGCTCCATCAATCCTTCCACCTCAGCCTCCCAAGTAGCTGGGATTACAGGCACACACCACCCCACGTGGCTAATTTTTCCTTTTTGTTTGTAGTGACGGCTTCTGCCATATTATCAGGGCTGGTCTCAAACTCCAGGGCTTAAGCAATTCATCTGTTTTAGCTTCCCAGACTGCTGGGATTATAGGCGTGAGCCACCGCACCTGGCTTGTTATTTGAATATATTATAATTTATTTAACTGTTTCCCCATTGCTGGATATTTAGGTTATTTTCTTTTTTCTTTATTCTATTATAAATACTACTGCATTGAATATCCTTGTAAATACATCTTTATGCATTAGTCGGGTTTTTTCCTATAGGGGAAAATCCTAGAGGTGAGATAATGGGGCAAATAATATGCCATGTTTAAAATGTGGTACATTTTGCCAAATAGCCTTTCAGAAAGTTAGTGCCAGTTTATACTTCCAATGAGAGTGCTAGGAGAAATTATTTTTAAATCGTTAACCTAATACAAGCAGTTTGAAAGTGTTCTGAAAGTCTTTGTAGGACGTTTAGACATCATTTTACCAGCACTTCCCAAACTCTGTATTTTCTTGTGAAATACAAGTTTAGTGGTATAGACTGTTTTGTGTTCTGAGAATAAAAGAGCTCCATGGTTCCATAAATTTGGGAAATTATTTTAGAGTGAAACAAGATTCTTTCCTGTAAGACTCAAAAACACTGTAAATATGCTAGTGCATTACTTATTTTAGGATAAGGATGAGGCTGTAGTATGAAGCATTTTCCAAGTGTATTTTGACCACAGAATCATCAATCATCATTTTATGGCATTAGAATTCAGCTGAACACAGTTTGGGAAATGCTGATCTTGCTCAATTCTTTTATTTTGCAATTGTTAGTGTTGGCTAAGTTAGTGTCTCACCTAAGGTCACTAACTTGTTACTGGCAAAGCCCAGATTCTGACTTCTGACTCCCAAATCCAGTCTATCTTCTGCTATGGTATACTGCACAATTTTAAAATATCATGATATAGGCTGGGCGTGATACCTCACTCCTATAATCCCAGCATTTTGTGAGGCTGAGAGGGGTGGATCATTTGATGCAGGAGTTCAAAATCCTGTAGTTCGAGACCAGCCTGGGCAACATGATGAAGCCCTGTGTTTAGAAAAAATAGAAAAATTATCCAGGCATGGTGGCATACACCTGTAGCCCCAGCTATTGGAGAGGCTCAGGTGGAAGGATCAGTTGAGTCCCTGAAATTGAGGCTGCAGTGAGCCATGATCATGCTACTGCACTGCAGCCTGGGCAACAGAGCGAGACCTGTCTCAAAAAAAAGAAAAAATCATGATATATTGAGTATATGTGTATTAATAATATGATTTAATGTAGGTTTAAAACATTATCATCTAAAACAGATTAGATGAAGTATAGGTAGTGTTTTGTGGCTTTCAGTTTCCCTAATCCTCACCTGCAGTACCAGAAAAATCCTGATAGATTTCACTTTCCACAGCATCTTCTTAAACTTAGTTTCTCCTTCATCCCCAAGTTCTAAAATCAGTGTGATTTTAATTGTATATGCTCCATCTGGTGGTGAAAAAGAGTGTCTGCATGCTCTGTACAAAAATTTACCCAGTGTAGTTGAAAGTAGTTGGTAGATTAAAGTGGTAATCCTAAGAAGAAAAAATTTTGCTTTAAGATATGGAATATAGCTTTACTTGGCAATCTTTTAATGTCAGGGCATTTTCTTTTCATATGGGTCCCTTGATTGGAGTGTAGGCCTTTCTTGCACAGAACATTATCTTGTCTATAATTTCTAGTTGTTTAAAGTCAAGAAGAAATTTTAAATTGTGTATGTATTGTCAACAAACAATATTAAGTGAATAAAGCATTCTTATTATGAAAGCAGTGCAGCTTTATTGTAGAAAAATTAGCGATAATCAGTATTAACAGCTTGCTTCTAGCCTCGGGATCCTAAATAGACTTTATAATAGAGTCCTTTCTATTTGATTAATAATATTCTGTTTTAGGTGTACAGTTCAGTGGCATTAAGCACATTTATACTGTTATACAACCATCCCCACCACTCAGTTTCAGAACTTTCTGTTTCCCATACTGAAGCTCTGTATCCATTCAACAATAACTCTCCATTCCTCCCTCCCTTCAGTTCTGGCAATCACCACCATTCTAACTTTCTGTCTCTATGAATTTCACTAGGGAATTTAACCATTTTCAAGTGTACAGTTCATTAGCATTAAGTACATTCACATTGTTTTGCCATCGTGATCACTATCTATCTCCAGAACATTTTCATCATCCCAAACTAAAATTTATACCCATTCAAAAATAACTCTCATTCTCTTCTCCCAACGCCTAGTAACAACTGTTCTACTTTCTCTCTCTTAAGTTTGCCTATTCTAGCTATGTCATGTAAGTGGAATCATATTTGTCCTTTTTTGACTGGCTTATTTCACTTAGCATAATGTCTTCAAGGTTCATCTATGTTCTAGCATGTGTCAGAATGCCCTTCCTTTTAAGGCTGAATAATATTCCTTTGTATGTATAAGCCATATTTTGTTTGTCCATTCATCAGTTGATGGACACTTGGGTTGCTTTCATCTTCTGACTATTTTGAATAATACTGCTATGAATATGAGTATAAAGGGTAATTTTTTTTCACTTTTGCATTTTCTTTTGCTCTTTAACCATATATATCTTTAAAATTTAACTTAAATTTTTTTGTGTATATATAAAGTATATATAGTAATTTTACAATAAATTTTTACAAAAAACTTTTAATGTATATGTACACATTATATATTTATATGTATATATACATAAATATGTGTATATATAAACATATATAGTATATATAATATATAAAATATGTATTTTATATTTAAAATTTTGGGGGGCCACTATTAAAATTTATAGGCAGTTTTGTAATCTGCTTTTTTTAAAAGGTAATAATAAATATTTTCCCATGCTGCTGTTTAAACATACAATCAGGATGAATAGTGTACTAGAGTCAGGAGGCCTGAGTGTGTGTCCTATTTCTGCTGTTGACCAAAGCAGAATACCTTGTTAAGCAAGTTATTAAACCCCATAGATCTCTAGTTACCTCATCAGTAAATTGGGGATATAGTACTTATTTCATAACATGTTTAAGAGCAATAAGGTACTATATATGAAGTACATTTGAATTACAATGTTCTATATAAATGTACAGATTACCATTATCTGTGTGATTTAGACAGGTATTCTCTTGTTAGAAATGTAGATTAAATTTCTTTGAGTTACAAAGTTACACATTGAATAACATGCATAATTTTTGTTTCAGTCATCTCCTTAAGATATATTCCTATGAGTAAAATTATTCACTCAGAGAATATGAATATTTTTATAAATCAGGCTACATAGTTCTTACCATAGACTTTTTTCAAAAGAATTATGTAGTTCAGTTAGCAGTTGGTATGATTTTTCTCCCAGCTCTGGATTTTATCCTTTAAAAAATTCTTTTTGCTTACTTTTTCATAGGGATAGATTAGTACTTTATTGTTATTTAATATGCTTATCTTTTATTACTAGTTGAGCTAAGAATGATTTATTAATAGCAAGTGGAATTAATGGAAGAAACTTCACTTTCCTTAAATGGAGACAGAAGGATGAACTGCTTTATTTTAGATATGGAAACAGATTTTGAATGTAATATAGGTCAAATTTTAAATATTCTGATTTCTACTTTTTATTATTTTATTGAAATCTATATGTCAATTATCTATCTCAATAACTTCTAATATTGGGAATCAGCTTTATAAGAAATTTGCTTTACAGGGTTGGATTCATTCACTGGAAATGTTCAGAACTCATTTCTTGATGAGGAAAAAGCAGAACATGGCTCCCACCAAGGAAAGAAATCTGGGACCAGCAGCAAACTTTCTGTTAAAGATTTTGAGCATACTCTTGATACAGATAGCATTTTGGAAGATCTTTCTGGACATTCTGTGAGGTAAAGTTAATGTGTGCGCTTTATACTGTAATTCGTATATAATTAGTTATAATATAATTGATATTCAGAAAATCCATATAATGAATTTTAGCTCAGCAATCTCCTTAACTGTGCATGTCTGAGCTACTACAAAATTGTATATATTACAAATAGACTTCAGAGCTTTGTTCACAGCTCTAATCTTGGTCTGTATATTAGAATATGGTCATGTATCATCTAAACTGTTACAACCTCTTTCTCAGGAATTCTCTCCCTCTAGTACAACCCGGTTTTCTATGCTGAATGCTGTTGTTACAGTTGTTTTCTTGGCTCAGTCTTTTGACTAAGCAGCTACCTTGCTTGGGGTACTTTGTGAGGTCATGGATCAATTCTAAGTGCCTAACTCTACTTGAAGTGTTTTCGCTGGGCTACCACAAACTATCTCATTTCTTTTGTCTATCTATTTCAATTCTCATCTATTCATCCATTCTTCCAACACAGCTACTTAGCATACTTATTGTCTTATTGTTTATTTCTTCCTCTGAACTTTTCTGCTCAACTTACTAGACCACTCAGGCAGAATTTAAAATGTCAGTCTTACTGATTATGGAGCTTGCATACTGTTTTTTTCTTCTTTCTAATATCGTATATGATGCACTTAGTCTGTTGCTTACAAATAACCTTCAGTTGTTGCTAGCTGTACAGTTCCTACTCATTTGTCTGTATGACTTTTCATCTGTGCACTGGTTTTATCTTGGAAGTAGAGGCTCTGAGAAGACACAGATTTATTTTTTCCTTTTAAAGTAACTTTGGCCTTTTTCTAGTACTGTGACACATAAAGATTACCATTTTTAGTGCTTTCATGTTACAAATCATATTGCATCATTAATACCATTATTTCTGTATTTAAAATTAAATTTTATTTTCTTTGTCAGTGATTTTGGAATTTAGAAAACTTTATCTTTCCTTAAGAATTACTCTGATGATTTAACTTGACAAAATTTACAAAGTTAAACATTTCTTAATGCGATCCATAGCCAAATAAGTTTCATCAACGCCCCATACTGCAATCTAGATTTCCCCTTCCCCACCCATGGAGATTCACAGGGATAAAATAATTTGAGGCTTTGATAAGGAGGAGTCCAGATTTTTCAAAACTTGTTTAATCTCCTTTTTTTTTTTGTTTTTTTTTAAAAAACTTGTTTGGCTATAGTCACTCTTTGTCCCCAAGCTCTTTCTCTTTCTTTTTGGGAAAGCTTATTGACATTATTGGAAATATACTTTTAGAAATGCTAGTCTAGCTAAATTTTATGTGCACAGCAAATATAAATTCATCTTACAAAACCCTAAGGTGAGGTGCAGAGTACTTTGTTTTGTTTGATGTTGTGTTTTAATTATTTAATGGAAATTTGTTAAAATGATCATTCTTTTTGTGTTTCATGCATGAAATAGACTGTTGGAAATAGTATTTATCTAAAGTATGAATAGAAAATTAAGGGTCAGGTAAACACATGGGTGCCTCTCAGGCCTACTTCTATTCAAATATTTTTATACTGGATATAAGAGAAATTTTTACCTTTGAAAACTATTTCATCATTTTATTAGAAGCTAAAAGCAAACTTGTTTTGGTATATTGGGAATATAACTGTGCTAAAGTGCTTTATAGAGTATCTTTGAATAATTTATTCAGTAAATAAATATTCAGTGCAAGGCAACATGCTTGATGTTATGAGAAATAATACCTTTAATGAGCTTACTTTTTCAAAGAAAGGCTAGCAACGTGTCTTGTACTGAATTAAATGCCTTAAGAGTTGTTACAAACTGTTATGTTATCTATTAGAAAGTTCAAGAAAGAGATGTATTAACAAGTAGATATAAAGAAATGAAATAAATATTTAGAGATGGATAGTGTGAAAATTTTTTCTGAGACTCTTGGATTAACAAGAGGGTATAACAAAAGAATAGTTTTTGTCTTTTCTTACCTTTTAACATAAAATATTTGATTCTTTTTCAGAAATGTATTTTAAGACCCATATATGGCTCCAATTTTATTGCTGTAGAGTGTCTATTTTAGAAGACTTTGCTTCATGCTATAACGAGTGAATCATAATATATGTACACTGTAGAGGGAACAGTTCAGTGCTAGTTTAATCAAGCTACTCCCTTTCCATTGTACTTAGGGCAAGGTTTGTGCCGTGCTTGTGCACCACTGTAATTCTAGCAATTAGAGGAATATTCATAGTCGTTCATTCAGCATAGTGACTGTATTAACGAATAAATGCCTAAATCACAACTTGTTAAAGCTAATGTTGATAAAGTTTTTTTATTTGTTGTTCTTTTGAATGATTTAGCAGGTTTACAAAGTACTTTTCCTTCCTCTAATGTTTTTGTGGATCAAAATTTCTAGTGTCTCATCAGATAAGGGAAGATCTCAGAAAACTCCAACTTCTCCCCTGTCACCAAGTTCCCAGAAATCGTTGCAGTTTGACCTTCCAGGAACTTCTTCAGAAAGATCTAAGTCGTCAGTAATGCCTACAACTATAACAGGGTTTAAGCCTACTGCAGCTCTCACTGATTTGAACCTGGCTGCCAGCAGAACAACGACAGAGAATGCGGCTCCAATACCAGGTAAGTAGATCCATGCAATTGTAATTTTTAGAATACGATATGAAATTTTTTCTCTCAAAATTCCTTTTCTTTCAATTGAGTCATAGAGAAATATTATTTCAAGTGAATATGATTACTTTTCAAGTATTAAAACCTTCCAGAAATTAAATACTGAAAAGCACAAGAGATTCAGTAATGTTGACTTTTTCCCATCTTGTCAGCCAGCATTAGTCAAATCATATCTGAAAACTATGTCCCGTATGTGCACTCCTGTTTATATGTATACGTATGTATGTATACACACGTGCCTGTGCACACACATAGAAGTAAAGTACATTGTACAGGCATACCTTGTTTTATTGTGCTTGACTTTATTGCATTTCACAGATGCTGCAGGGTTTTTTTGTTTTATTGTTTTTTGTTTTTTTGTTTTTTTACAAATTAAAGGCTCATGGCATTGAACAAATTCATCAGTGCCATTTTTCCAGCAGCATGTGCTCACTTCGTGTCCCTGTGTCCACAATTTTGATAAATCTCTCAATATTTCAAGCTTTTCATTATTACTGTATCTGTTATGGTGATCTGTGATTAGTGATCTTTGATGTTCCTGTTGTATTAATAATTGTTTTAGGTGCCACCAACCAGTCCATTTAAGAGGGCAAACTTAATGGATCGATGTTGTGTGTGTTCTGACTGCTCCACCAACTCACCGTGTTCCCCTCTTCAACGCTCCCTCTGGCCTCCTTATTGCCTGAGACACAATAATATTAAAATTAGGCCAGTTACTAACCCTACAGTAATCTCTTAAGTGTTCATGTGAAAGGAAGAGTCACATCTCTCACTTTAAATCAGAAGCTACAAATGATTAAGCTTAGTGAGGAAGGGATGTCAGAAGCCAAGATATGCCAAAAGCTAGGCCTCTTGTGCCAGTTAGCCAACTTATGAATGCAAAGGAAAAGTTTTTGAAGGAAATGAAAGGTATCATATGAATGAAAGATAAGAAAACACAATAGCCTTATTGCTGATATGGAGAAAGTTTTAGGGACCGAGATAAAAGATCAAGCCAGTGGCATCTTTAAGCCAAAGCTTAATCCAGCGCAAGACCCTAATCCTCTTCAATTTTGTGAAGCCTGGGAGAGGTGAGGAAGCTGCAAAAGAAAAGTTGGAAGCTAGCAGAGGCTAAAGAAAGAAGCCATCTCTATAAAATAAAAGTGCAGGGTGAAGCAAGAAGTGCTGAGGTAGAAGTTGCAGCAAGTTATCCAGAAGATAATTGATGAAAGTGGCTGCACTAAACAGATTTTTAACGAGATGAAACAACCTTATGTTGGAAGAAAATGTCATCTAGGACTTTCATAGCTAGAGAGAAGTTAGTGCTTGGCTTCAAAGCTCAAAGGATGAGCTGACTATTTAGGGGTTAATACAGCTGACAACTTAAAGTTGAAGCCAAGGCTCATTTACCATTCTGAAAATCCTAGAGTCCTTAAGAATTATGCTAAATCTACTCTGCTTGTGCTGTATTAATGGAACAACAAAGCCTGAATGACAGCACATCTGTTTACAGCACTCAAGTTTAGTGAGTATTCTAAGCCCACTGTTGAGACCTACTGCCCAGGAAAAAAAAAGATTTTTTTCAAAGTGTTCTTTACAAAATTTGAAAAAATATTTATTCCTGCTTATTGACAATGCACCTGGTCATCCAAGAGCTCTGATGGACATAAAAAAGGAGATTAATAGTTTTTATGTCCCCTAACACAAAATCCATTCTGTACCCATGGATCAAGTAGTAATTTCAACTTTTAAGTCTTCTTATTTAAGAAATGCACTGTGTAAGGCTATAGCTGCCATAGATAGTGATTCCTCTGCTGATTTGGGCAAAGTAAATTGGTCACCTTCTGGAAAGGATTCACCATTATAGATGCCATTAAGAACATTTGTGATTCGTGGAAGGAGATCAAAATACGAGCATTAACAGAAGCTTGGAAGAAGTTGATTCCAGCCCTCATGGATGACTTTCAGGGGTTCAGAACTTCAGTGGAGGAAATAACTGCAGATATGGTGGAAATAGCAAGATAACTAGAATTATAGTTGGATCCTGAAGATGTTACTGAATTGCTGCAGTCTCATGACAAAAGTTGAATGAATGAGTAGTTGCTGCTTTTGCATGAGCAAAGAAAGTAGTTTCTTGAGATGGAATCTACTCCTAGCGAAATGACAAAAATGGTTTAGAATATTACATAAACTTTAATTGATAAAGCAGTGGCAGGGTTTGAGAGGATTGTCTCCAGTTTTGAAAGAAGTTCTACAGAAAGTGGGTCAAATGCTACCAAACAGCATTACATGCTCCAGAGAAATCTTTTGTGAAAGCAAGAGTCAATCGATGCAGTAAACTTCATTATTGCCTTATTTTAAGAAATTGCCACAGTTACTCCAACCTTCAGCAACCACCCTGATCAGTCAGTAGCTGGTGGAAGGTATGACCTTCCACCAGCAAAAAGATTAGGACTTGCTGAAGGCTCAGATGATCGTCAGCATTTTTTAGCAGTACAGTATTTTTAAATTAAAGTATGTACATTTTTTTAGACATAATGCTATTACACACTTACTAGACTACAGTATAGTGCAAATATAACTCTCGTATACACTGGTAAACCAAAAAATTTGTATGACCTGCTTTATTCTGATATTTATTCCTTTGGTCTGGAACTGAACCTGCAGTATCCTCAAGGTATTCCTTTACTGAGTCCCAGTTTTTTCTACATAGGAAAACAAAGTTGATTTTGGCTCTTAAAATGACAGATGTTAGAAATCTGAAGTGTAATTTCATGTTAACTTTTCCATTTGACCATTGTCATGCCCTCCAGGTTCTAAGCGCTTTTCTCCTGCTGGCCTCCATCATCGTATGGCAGCAGAACTCAGTTATCTGAATGCCATTGAGGAGTCGGTGCGCCAACTGTCCGATGTGGAAAGAGTTAGAGGCATTTCACTTGCTCAGCAGGAGAGTGTGTCTCTAGCTCAGATCATAAAGGTATTTTTGGAGTTTTCCTTTTTAGCTTTCTGTGGTTTTTCTTTTTTCTTTGCTTTTCAAAATAGTCTTAATGATGACTTAAACTACTGTGCCAAATAGAAAAAAAATAGTCTACCATATAACACCTGTAAATAAATAGTCCTGAGAAAAACTTATCAGGACACTAAAAAGATACAGTGTTTGGCAGCAGAACAATAATAAGTCATTCTCTCTCAAATACTTTGTTTTCCATGTTTTCTGCTTTGCTTAGTTAACAGTATAAAAATCGTCTAGTCAAACATTCTTTTTTTTTTTTTTTTTTGAGACTGAGTCTCGCTCTGTCGCCCAGGCTGGAGTGCAGTGGCCGGATCTCAGCTCACTGCAAGTTCCGCCTCCCGGGTTCACGCCATTCTCCTGCCTCAGCCTCCCGAGTAGCTGGGACTACAGGCACCCGCCACCTCGCCTGGCTAGTTTTTTGTATTTTTTAGTAGAGACGGGGTTTCACCCTGTTAGCCAGGATGGTCTCGATCTGACCTCGTGATCCACCCGTCTCGGCCTCACAAAGTGCTGGGATTACAGGCTTGAGCCACCGCTCCCGGCCTAGTCAAACATTCTTAATATTGTCTCTTTTCATTGAGAGGTGAGAGAATACTGAGGGTTTTTTTTTTTTTTTTTTTTTAAGCTTTATTTGTACCAAAAGAGAAGTTTCTGAAATCCAGGTGTTTGAGAAAGCCAGGATAATGTGGATTTTCCTTTAGCAAACAAAAATCCGGAGACGGTCTAAGCACTCTTCGTTAGTGGAACTGCTTTACAAAACAACAACAACAACAACAACAAAACCCTGAGTTCTTACCTACATAGTATAAAATACACAGATTTTAAGTGTACAGTTTTGATCAAATTTGTTTTGTTTTGTTTTGTTTTGCTTTTTTTGAGACAGAGTCTTACTGTTGCCCAGGTTAGAGTGCAGTGGCACGATCTCTGCTCACTGCAAGCTCTGCCTCCCAGGTTCACACCATTTTCCTGCGTCAGCCTCCCTAGTAGCTGGAACTACAGGCCCCCGCCACAACGCCCAGCTAATTTTCTGTATTTTTAGTAGAGACGGGGTTTCACCGTGTTAGCCAGGATGGACTCAATCTCCTGGCCTCGTGAACCACCCGCCTCGACCTCCCAAAGTGCTGGGATTACAGGCGTGAGCCACCGCGCCCGGCCCAGTTTTGATGCGTTTTGACCAGCGTATATACCTGTGTAAGAACCACCCTAATCAAGATATACAACCCTTACGTTGTTACCCCAGAAAGTTGACTCATGCCCATTTTCAATTACTCCCCCTTCCAAAGGCAATTACTATTCTGATTTCTGGCACCATAGTTTATTTTTGCCTGTTCTAGAACTTTGTATAAAAGGAAGTGGACTTTGAACTCTGTGTTTAGCTTATTTTCAATATCAATTTAAGATTTATCCATATTGTTTTATCAGTAGTTTTTTGTTTTGTTCTGTTTTTTGCTGAGTAATATTCCATTAATATCACAATTTATCAGTTTTCCTATTGATGTATATTTGGATTATTTCCAGCTTTTGCCTGTTGTGAATATTCCTGCTATGAACATTTTTAAACAACTCTATGCATACTACATATGTTTTCATTTTTCTTATATAAGTACCTAGGAGTGTAATTGCTTGGGTCAGGTATATGAAACTTTATAAGAAACTGCTGTACAGTTTTCCAAAATGGTTGTAACACTTTACACTCTTGTAATAAGTAGGAAAATTCCAGTTGTCTGCATTCCTGCTATCATTTGGTATTATCAGTCTTTTATTTCAGTCATTCTATTGAGTGTGAAGTAGTATCTCATTGTGGTTGTAATTTGCATTTCTCTTGTTACTGATAAGACTGATTGTCTTTTTGTGTATTTATTGAGCATTCTTTTGTGAATATCTGTTCAAATCTTTTACACCCTTCATTATGGGGTTGTCTTTTTAATTATTGATTTATAGGAGTTGTTCATATATTCTGGAAACAAGTCCTTTTCAGATGTATTGGAAATATTGTATTCCAGGTCTTGGCTTATCTTTTCACTTTTTAAACTGTGTCTTTGAGAAATAGAAGTTTTAAATTTTGATGAAATCCAGTTTTTAGTTGCTTTCTTTTGTGGTAGTACCTTTCGTTTTCTAAGAAATCTTTGGGCTGACTGTGGTGGCTCATGCCTGTTATCCCAGGACTTTTTGGGAGGCCAAGGCAGACAGCTCACTTAAGTTTAGGAGTTCAAGACCAGCCGGGGCAACATGGTGAAATCCCGTCTCTACTATAAATACAAAAATTAGCCGTCCACGGTGGTGTATGCCTGTAGTCCCAGGTACTTGTAGGGCGGGGGGGCAGGTCGGCTAAGGAAGGAGAATCGCTTGAGTCCAGGAGGCAGAGGTTGTAGTAAGCCAAGATTGTGCCATTGGACTCCAGAGTCAAACTGTGTCTCAAAAAAAGGAAGGAAGGAAGGAAGGGAGGGAGGGAGGGAAAGGTGAGGAGAGGAGGGGAGGGAGGGGAGGGGAAGGGAAAGAAAGAAATCCTACGCTAAGACACTAAGATATCCTAACATTCTCTTATGTTTTTTCCCAAAAGCTTTATAATTTTAGCTTTCATATTTACGTGTGTAATCCTTCTCAAGTTAATTTTGGGGTTTGATGTGAGGAAGAGAGTTAAAGTTTGTTTTTCCCTAATAAGGATATTCAATTGTTCCAGCACCATTTTATTAAAAAGACTTAAATTACCTTAATGCCTTTATCAATGATTAAGTAATCAATTATGTGTAGATCTAGTTCTAGACTCATTTTCCATTGATCTATTCATCTATCCGTAATGTCAGTACCATATTGTCTTTATTACTGTGGTTTTTTAGTGAGTCTTGAAATCAAGACATAATTCCTCCAACTTTGTTTCTTTTTTTCAAAGATGATTTTGGCTGTTCTAGGTTTTTTACATTTCCGTGTAACTTTTAGAATCAGTTTGTCAGTTTCTACTAAAAAAAACAAAAAGCCTGGTAGGATTTTGATTAGAATGGTATTGAATCTATAGATCAGTGAGTCTGGGGAGAATTCACATCTTAACAGTGTTGCCTTTTCTAATTCATAAACATGATATATTTTTCTATTTGTTTAAATCTTTGACTATTTCTCTCATTAGTATTACAGTTTTCATTGTAGAGGTCTTATACATTTTAAAATTTATTCCCAAATGTTTTATGATTTTTGATGCTATTTTTTTTTTTTTCAGTTTCCTTTTCTGTTTGTTCTTCCCAAAAGACTTGTCAGACAGTTCTTGGTGTGGTACTGTTACCATATTTTGCAGAGATACCATCATTCCTGCCCTCCTCCCGCTAAATAGCAGTAGTGTTGTCCAATCATTGTGACAGCAGAAATTCCCTGGACATTTCCAGATGTTTCCTGGTAGAGGGTGGGGAGGGACTAATGCCAACTTTGTTGAGAATCATTGTATTGAGGAAATGACCCCATTGTAGTGGAGGGCCATACTGACCTTGAAATCTGAGTCAGCACTGAGGTTTTCTGCCACTTTGGACATACATTATAATTTTGGGTTTCCAGATTTGGGCAGAGCATTACCACAGCCTTACATACAGCCTTACCACCATTTTTTGTTTTCTTTTGTTTTGTTTTAATTAAAAAAAAAAAAAATAGAGATGGGGGGTCTCACTATGTTGACCAGGCTGGTCTTGAGCTCCTGGCCTCAAGTGATCCTCCCCTCTTGGCCTCCCAAAGTGCTGGGATTGCAGACATGAGCTATTGCGCCCAGCCCTTACCACCTTTTGAAAACCTCTATTATTTAGCACTATTTCAAAGGAGATGAAAAAATATATATATTTATAGATAATATTGTGTGGAATTGTGGTAAGAAAGGGCCCTGGTGACAAGGAAACCTTATATGGGGACATCTTTTTTTTAATGAAACTACTACTTCAAAGTCAAAATAAAAGAATCATAAAATTGTGAGATGTGAGGCATTATTTTTATTTTTACACATAAGACATTTTTTTATGTCTTCCAAAAAGTTGGGTGCTATAGCCTTTGCTTTCTAACCAGCTTTTTGGTATTAATTCTTAGTCCTATATATACTGGAAATTTTTTATATTACTACATTATTTGGCACATGGGAGGTGGTCATTAAATATTTTGATAAATGGTAAGGGGCTGTTGACTATTCTTTTTACTCTCTTTCCTTTTGGTTCTAATTAGTTGCTTCAAATGATTTGTATTAGTAAGAGAGCATGGTGTGTGTTATAGTCACTGCGTTAAAATAGTTTAGTATTTGAGAATTAACATTTGACCATTACTTTGAAGGCACAACAGCAACGCCATGAAAGAGACTTGGCCCTCTTGAAACTGAAGGCTGAACAAGAGGCTCTGGAGAGTCAGAGACAATTAGAAGAAACCCGAAACAAAGCAGCTCAGGTAACTTATTTTGCAGCAGGTTCTTGTTTTTTAAACCTAAATTTGTATCTTAGAAATTACTTTAGCATTCTTTTAATTATATAGGAGAAAAAAATATATATATATAAAAAAATAATAAAATTTTAGTACTTTTTGTGGGATAATTCCATGTCATTTGATTTTTGTTACAACCTTCTGAAATAAACTGTCAAGACTCATTTCCAGTTTAGGGAAATGGCAACTGTGGTACATTGTATTTACTTATCCACAGATACAGTAACTTGTGAACAGTGGAGTTAAGACTTAAATCATGAAATCTGGATTGTAGTAAAGTGTTTTTTACTACAAATAAGACATGAAATAAATTTATAAATTAAAATTAATTTGGGAGGTGGGGAAACTAAAACATAACTTCTTTTTTAAACCCCTTTTATTTAAAGATCCATGCAGAATCATTACAGCAGGTGGTTAAATCACAACACGAAGTAACTGAAGTCCTACAGGAAGCAACATGTAAAATAGCAGCTCAGCAGTCAGAGACCGCTCGCCTTACCACAGATGCAGCACGTCAAATCTGTGAGGTAGATGCCATTGAGAACCCTTCTCTTTTTAGTTCTTTTTAGTCAATCTGAGTAACTTTGGTCTTTAGTAATGGGTTTCTAATATCTTAGTAAATGCATACTTTGAATTAGTGACTTTTAGTGGGGGACATACCCTATCGAAATAAGAGGCACCATTGACTGTGGTGTGTTGTACATGTGAATGTTACAGAGGCAGAAAGAAGATGAAGAGCTCTAAATTTCCGCCCTCTGGTAAGCTTTTTAGAAAAGTATGAACTTTATTGATGTATAATTTGTAAGCAATAAAATGTACCCATTTTAAGTATGCAGTTTGGTGAGTTCTCTCTCTCTCTCTCTCACACACACACACGCACACACACACACATATCTCCCTATAACCATCACCACAATCCAGAAATAGCATATTTCTGTTACTTCAAAAAGTTTCCTCATGTCTCTTTGCAACCAGTCCCTAATCTCAGTCCTGGGGAACCACTGATCTGCTTTGTGTGAAGATGTTTCATTTTTACCCACAATGATATTAGTTACTGTCTTTTCTATAACAGGGGGACAGCCAGAAGTAGTTTTATTGCTGTCTCTACATAGGATATCACAATTCGTAATTGATACAGTTTCACTTTATTTTAGCAGTTACATGTTTTTAAACCAAAAGTTAGTACTATTTGTAAAATGACTTGGTTATTGGAAATCCATGAACCTACTATATGTTGGGTATTATGGAGTTGTACGTTTCAGTATAAAATTGAGTCTCCTTTCTCAAGAAAATTTTAATGTAGACAACATTAACAAAGATTTCAAAACACTTTAAGTCATTAGTAAAAGGAATAGCTCAAAGTAGTGCTTGAACAAATACCGAATGAATAGTACATGCAGCACTTGCAGTAGTGGTTAAGAGTAGGGAAATGTACTTCACCTGTTGGTCAGCAAAGAGTTAGAAAGGAAGTAGTAATTAAATTGATTCTTGAAGGAAGATTTAATTTTTGGCTTATTACTGCTTATGATATGCTTTAAAAGGTTGTCTGTCTAATTCATAGATTGTTATAGCTAGGTGAAACCTTAGAAATCATGTAGTTCAACTCTGTTTTTACAAGATGAAGTTGTTGAGACTTAAAGAGGCTAAATGACTTGTCCACAGTATTTCGTCTCTTAGTGGCAGAATTTGCTTGCTCTCAAGTCAGTGATCTTTCTTTCCAAGACACTATGCTCCTTCTCAGTTCTGTGACCTTACCTTCTAATACATTTGCCTTTCTGGTGTGTGTTCATGTTTAGATGGCAGAGTTGACTAGAACTCATATCTCAGATGCTGTCATGGCTTCAGGAGCTCCCCTTGCAATACTGTATGACCACCAACGGCAGCACCTTCCAGACTTCGTGAAACAGCTGAGGACCAGAACTGAAACAGATAGGTTAATATTCATTCATTCAGCAAATATATAATGACTGTCTGTTAGGTTAATATTCTTTCAGCAAATATGTAATGAGTATTTGTTGTCATAGGCATTATTTTTGGTTGGGAATACAGTTATGGGCATCATCTGGTAGGGAAGATAAATATTACTCAAATATTCAGTTAAGTGAATGAATACTTATACACTGATTTAAGTGTTATGAAAGAAAGGAACACATGTCTCAGAGATATGTAACATAGGAATTTGAATAGCCTGGGGGTGCCAGCAGGTCAGAGGAGGCTTTCCTGAGGAAATAAAGCTTGTGGTAAAGCTTGTGGTGCAATCTAATAAATGAGGAGTTAGTAATGTAAAGGAGGTAAAGAATAGGTAGATGAAAAGCCCTAAAGGAAGAAGGAACATGGCATATTTAAGAAAAGAAATAAAGACCATTGTGGCTGGAGGCAGGGAGCAAAGAAGATGGTATGAGATGATGCAGGGATCAGATCATGGTATAGGGCCTTGCGGACTTAGGATTTTGGAGTTTATTCTAGGAGCAATGAAGTCATTAAAGAAATTATTTTTGGCAGGACTGGGTGACATTACCATATTTGTGTGTGTGTGTTTTTCTTAATCATATTTTGACTGTTTCTAATTCTTAGATTTTAAGTCTCTGTTTACATTCATTGATACTAGGAGTGATTTGTGTTTACTTCCCTAGTAAAACAGAAGACATTCTTTAATGTGTTGTAAGTTATTTTATAATATCTATTTGTTCAAGATTTTATGTCATATTGCTAGTAAGCAATACTTAAAATCTTTCCATTATTAGAGACTTTGAATGTTTAATCAGTTTTTATTTTATTTGTAGGAAAAGTCCATCTGTTTCACTCTCTCGGAGGAAAGAAGGGACCCTTGACTCAAAGCATCAAAAGTATTCCCCTTCATACGATAGTTATTCTGAGTCTTCAGGATACAAGAATCATGATAGAAGGTGAAGACAATTTGATTTGTCAGTACAGTTTAGTAAACGCTGATAAATGGCTTAAACATTGCTTTCTTTGATTTCTTAATATTGTTTATTTAAATAGAACAGTGTGTTCCCTTCAAAATGCTGGCTTCCCTAATTAGCCAATTTACAAAATAGTTGGTCCGTGTAATAATGTAACTGCTGTTCCTTGAGAACCTACATTGTATAAGCATTGTATAAATTGTTCTTCCTGCATATAATATTTACAGCAGCCTTCCAAGGCAGATGGTATTATCCTTATAGGTTAGAAAACTGAAGCTCATGGAGATGTTAAGAAACACATTCAAGGTCACATAAATAATGATACATCAAGGAATTGCACCTTAATTTATCTGCCTTCAAAGACTGTGTTTATTGTACATTTCCTTGCTGACATTCATATTTCCTGATGTTACAAATTTTTATTGTTATAAAAAGTATTGAATAGGCCGGGTGCGGTGGCTCACGCCTGTGATTCCAGCACTTTGGGAGGCTGAGGTGGGCAGATCACCTGAGGTCAGGAGTTCAAGACCAGCCTGGCCAACATGGTGAAGCCCCATCTCTACTAAAAATACAAAAATTAGCCATGGGTGGTGGCGTGTGCCTGTAATCCTGTAAGCTACTCAGGAGGCTGAGGCACAAGAATCTCTTGAACTACGGAGGCAGCGGTTGCAGTGAGCCAAGATCGCACCACTGCACTCCAGCCTGGGTGACAGAGTGAGACTCCGTCTCAAAAGAAAAAAAAAATTGAATAGCTTGTCATTGGTAGTTAGTGTGATATGAATGGCTATAGCTTTCAATTATGGTTCCATCTCGGATTAGAAGATTTTAGAGGCTACTTTACAGCATTTTTACAGGTAACATACTGACATTGTCAAGTATAGTAAAACACCAATTTAAAAAATTAAATAATGAAACTAAAAGACGTGAAAATGTGGGAAAAGTACCAAAAGTTATTGAGTAGCTATTATGTCTCTGAAACTATCTGACTTTCATTTAACCTTTACTGACACCTTCACTGAAACTTCATGTCAACCATCATCTGGATTACTGTGGTGAACTCCTAATACTTGTCCCCATCCTCTAATCTTTCTCCACTCTATTCGTTAGCCACATGATAACCAGAGTGATTTTTCTAAAATTTCTAGCCAATTTGGTTATTCACCTATTTGAAATCTTCAGTATTCCCTCAGAAGATTCAAATTAAGGTCCAAATTATTTATCCTGGCATAAAAACTTTCTTTATAATTGAGCCTTTGGTCTATCTCTAGCCCCATCTCTTGGCTTTTCCTCTTTTGCTATACTCCATTCATTCTAACTATTTCCAGTTCTCAGAAGAACCCTGCTTTCTGTCTTCTGTGCCATTGCATATGATATACCTTCTTTCTAGACCATCCCCTCATTTCATTTAGTTTACTTTTATTTACCTTTCAAGAATCAGTCCTACCCCATCTGCTTTAGCTCTCACCTAAGTGTTCTCCTACAGCACTATGAGTATAGCTGTGACAGTCTTGACCACCCTATGTGTACATGTTTCTTTGTTAGTCAGTTACATTCTAGATCAGAAGCTCATTGAGGGCTTCATTTTCATCACCTCAGAAAGAAACTCAGTAACCATCAGCAGTTACTCCCTTATACCCTCCTCTGGCAACCACTATTTCCTGTCTCCATTTTCTATGGATTTGCCTATTCTGGATTTTTATATAAATGGCATCATTACAGTATGTGGCCCTTTGTGACTGACTTCTTCCACTTAGCATGATGTTTTCAAGTTTCATGCATGTTGTAGCATGTATCACTACTTTGTTTATATGGCCAAATTATTTTCTCTTGCATGGCTATCCCACATTTTATTTATCCATTCATCAGTTGGTGGACATTTGGGTTGTTTCCACTTTTTGACTGTTGTAAGTAATGCTGCTGTGAACATTCACATACAACCTTTTGTGTGGATATGTTTTCATTTCTCTTGAGTATATATTTAGGAATGGAATTGCTGGATCATGTACGGTAGCTCTATGTTTAACTTTTTGAAGAACTGCAAAACTATTTTCCAAAGTAACTGCAGCATTTTATACTATTTTCCCACTACGTAAAATTTTTCTACAATCCTCACCAATGCTTGTTGTGTTTTTTATTGTAGCCATCTTAAGAGGGGACCATGCATACTTGTATCATCAGAACTTAGCAAAGTACCTAGCACGTGACAGGCAATCTACTACAAATTTACTGAGTGAATGATTAGCACATAGCTGGCAATTGTTAGAATTGGGATTCAACCCCATGTCCTTCTGACTTGAAAGTCCCTTACTGTGTGCTGCATTACATCTTTTACCTTATTGCTTTATTAGAAGATTTATCTTTTCAAAAACTTATTAAACCAAACAATAGCATTGTATTCTGATAAGTATTATCACAGAAATATACACACACAAAAAAGTATGAACACAGGGTCAGAAGTGACCAAAGCTTCCTTGAGAGTTGGGGTGGGGTCCATGCAGTCTTCTCAGAAATAACACTTGAACTGATTATTTAATTCCATAGGTCGTTAGGCAGACAGAGCAGCAAGGGCAATTTGAAAGAAGAAATAAGTATGTGCTGAGGATCCTAAGTATTAACCCGGCTTGTGTAATGAATGAATAAACCAAGAAATGTAAGAAAGAGAAAGGAAAACACTTGGGGGAATATATGCTTAGTTTGTTGGCTGAGGAATAGCCAAAATCAGAAGTTCACATGGCATTTCAACACTTGAAGCTTAAAATCAAGGAAAGGGCAAAGATAGTGATACAAATTTGAGACTCACTCTAAATGATAGTAGTTGAAGTCATGGTTAAGATTGCCCAAGGAGAACATGTAGTATAAAATAGAAAGAGGGCCAGCGTGGTAGCTTACATCTGTAATACCAGCACTTTGGGAGGCCGAGGCGGGTGGATCATCTGAGGTTAGGAGTTGGAGACCAGCCTGGCCAACATGGCGAAGCCCAATCTCTACTAAAAATACAAAAAAAAATTAGCTGGGTGTTGTGGCACATGCCTGTAATCCCAGCTACTCGGGAGACTGAGGCAGGATAATCTCTTGAATCCGGGAAGTGGAGGTTGCAGTTAGCCAAGATCGTGCCACTGCACTCCAGCCTGGACGACAGAGTGAGACTCCTTCTCAAAAAAAAAAGTTAGAAAAGGACCAAAACAAAACCATCAATTTAAGGAAAGACAGAAAAATTTAAAGCAAATGAAAGAAACAAGGAAAGCTTGTTAGAGAGTTGGGAAGAGAAGCAGGTGAGAGTAAAGTCATAGGATATAAGAATGTTGACATGATTTCAAGCTTACAGAAAAGTTGCAAGAATAATAGAAAGTCCTCAAATAGCTTTCATCCAGATTATCCTAACCTTTTACTGTATTTTGTTTAGCAAGTAGCGCTTTTAAAGGAGATATTGTCAACATCTAATGTTACAAAGCAATAAATTCTGTATTGGATTTAGCAATTCAAAGTATAGATAAAGCTTATTCAGAATAGTTTTAGTAGAGCAGTTGGGATGGAAGCAGATTGTGATAAACCATGATGTTAATGAAAAGTAAAGAAGTAGAAACAGTGAGCAGTAGCTCCCTTTCCCAGAAGTTTGATTTTGAAACGAAGGGAAAAAAGGGAGTGATAACCTAGCAACACTGCCTATTATGATTATTCAAACGCGAAACCTTCCTCTCTCCTACTCATCTTTCTCATCTTTTCCAAAATATTCTTAGACTTATGTTACTTCACTTTTTCTGTTTTATATTACATCTTTCTTGATTTTTATCTTGACTATAAAGTACAGTCATTTGGCCAAATAAGTTTACTTTGAAGCTATAATCCTTATTTTGTTAATTTTGTTGTTGTTGTTTCCATGTATCTATAAAAAGAAGCAGTAGTGGTAACAGCCGCCAAGAAAGTCCTTCAGTTCCATCTTGTCAGGAAAATGAGAAGAAACTTAATGGTGAAAAGATAGAGAGTTCCATTGATGAACAGGTTCAGACTGCTGCAGATGATTCTCTACGACGTGATAGCGTTCCATCTCTTCCTGATGAAAAAGGTAACTTTCTTTTTCAAATAAATGTGTAACCATTTGTTCGGAAACCAGAGAAAAGGGGATCCTTGTTATAAAGTAGCAAATAAGCTGTATGCCGCGGCTCATGCCAGTAATTCCAGCACTTTGGGAGGCTGAGGTGGGAGAATTGCTTGAGCCTAGGAGTTTGAAACCATCCAGGGAAACATAGGGAGACCCCTGTCTCTACAAAACAATTAAAAATTAGCCAGGCTTGGTGGCACAGTCTATGGTCCTAGTACGTGAGAGGCTGAGATGGGAGAATCACTTTAGCCTAGGAGATCAAGTCTACAGTGAGCTGTGATTGAGCCATAGCACTCCAGCTTCGGCAACAGAGCAAGACCCTGTCTCAAAAAAAAATTAAATAAGTAAATAAAGTGGCAGACAACTTGACTGCAACTGTGTTCTAGTATTTTGGAATGTAGACATGAAAAGTGATGTATTTGGATACTTAGCTGAGGAGATTTCTAACTTTATTTCGTTAATATTTACTAAACTTTATCTCATGAATAATATAGTGTTTCTAATTAAAGCACTGATGACAAATTTAATTGTAGATAATATTTGTAAGCCTTAGAAGGAAACACAGTAACCATGTATGACTTGTTTGTACCATGGTGCCTGGGCTTCCAATAACAGTGAATAAATAATTTTCAAGTGACTGTTTTAAAATATCATGAACAGTGACTTTATTTAACTTCTTTAAACAATATTGAATTACTTGCCCAGTGCTTTACTTGACTAGCAGAAATACAAAAACAAAAATGTATTATTAGTTGGACTGCTGCTACTTCTGGCCATGATGGAGCAAAGGGACCAGATTTGCTTACCTTCTTTTTTTTTCATTTTTTATTTTTTATTTATTTATTTATTTTTTTTTTGTGAGACAGAATCTTGCTCTGTCAGCAGGCTGGAGTGCAGTGGCATGATCTCAGCTCACAGGAACCTCCGCCTACTGGGTTCAAGCAATTCTCCTGCCTCAGCCTCCTGAGTAGCTGGGATTATAGGCATGCGCCACAGCGCCTGGCTAATTTTTGTATTTTTTTTTTTTTTTT